GCAAAAATACACAGAAAGGATTTGCAATTCTGTTCAGCTGGTATTGTGATACATTAACCCCTGCCAGACCTTCCTTCGGACTACAGTATAATTTTCTCCAGCACAGTTGAGTCCAGCCCTAGCCCCACCTGTGATTGGACAATGAAGGAGCACTGGTCTACTACTGAAGATATCCCTGTGCTCTGCCCTCCTGTAAGCAAGTTTTTGTGTTAGACTGAGAGTATTGTACAATGCAGTAGTATAACCTAAATGGTACAAAGTGCTGAACTTCTCTCTGTGTGCAGGGGATTGCAGGAAGCCAATAAGAGGACATATTCGGGTACTTATACTAGCTCTAAAAATTAAATAAAACTGAACTCCAGACAAACCGCTTTAGGCACAGATGAAAAACATAAGGTAGCTGTGATACCTGCCATAGGATTTGTATTTCTGTTGGCACCTGAGATTTACACAGATCTGCCACACAGCACAGCTCTGTATGGCAGGGGAGAAGATCTGAATTTTCTCTGTTGCAGTTCAGTAACGCATACAGGTCTTGTCCCTGCTGAACCTGTGACTGGACACTGAAAGAAGAAGCAGCAGACTGAGAAGCTCATCTCTACCTTTTGCAAGTAAATAAGCTCCCATGTATGTATTTCATCTGCCTGGAGTTCAGTTTTATGTGTTAGCAAGTGTGAGATTTCAGTTTTCAGACACCTAATTTGGAAAAATATCAGAATACTAGTAGGTGGTTTTCAATGGAAAATGCCAGATTTGATGATGATATGGCGGTGGATTACACTGGTTGCTGCAGTGAAATGATGAATGGGGGATCTCACAGTCCCCCCGGCACCGGGTCTGCACTCTATACAATATATCCCGTATACTATATAGAGAGTTTGATAACATGATATGGAGCATGCCCCATTAAATAAAAACAAACATGTATCATATAGAGCAGTCCCAGTTGATTGTATGAGCAATGCATGACAAAAGACAGATGGTGTGCATTGTTGGACATCTTGTCATGACAGAATCCTTTTTTTTTTATACCACTGAATCTTGTAGAGAATGCTTGAAAAAGAGATGATTGCTGAAAGTGTTTACTGTAAAATGAGAATAAAATGGCAGGAAAGATAAGGAATGACAGATCCACAGTGCTCACTGTTCTTGAGATGCAGTCGGGGTAGAGGTAGCCATGCCGCAATAATGTAAGCAACAAGGTGAGGCCTACTAGGAGGGCAGAATTGAGACAGGGCACCTCAGGTGGGCCCTGGAAGGAGGTCAACATGCAGGCAGTACACCTTGGGTAGGTCCTTGTAGGATGGCAGAATATGGGCAGGACTCCTCAGGTGGTGCTTGGTAGGAAGGCAGAATAGAGACAGGATATCTCAGATAATGCTTATGAGTAGGTCAGAATTGAGACAGAACACCTCAGGTGAAGCCTGCAAAGAGGTCAGAATGGAGATCGAACACATCAAGTGAGGCCTTATTGGAGGGCAGAATGGAGACAGAACACCTCTGGTGAGGCCTGCCAGAATGGCATAACGAAGACAGGACACCTAACATGAGGCCTGTGAGAAGAATATAGGTAAGACACCCTGCAAGAAGTTCATAATGAAATAGGACACCTCAGAGGAGATCTTATGGGGGGTGAGGCCTGGAAGGAGGTCAGAATGGAGACAGGACACCTAATCAAGGCTTGGAAGGAGGGCAGAATGGAGGGAAAACATCTCAGGTGAGGCCTGATAGGGAGTAGAATGGACACAGGAAACCTCATTTGAAACCTGCAGAGAGGACAAAATGGAAACAGGACACCTCAGGTGAGGCCTGGTAGGAAGGCGTAGTAAATGGAAACTACCTACACTAATGGGGAGAGGTCTCACTGCTGCTAAAAATGGAAAACAGGTCAAAGTTACTTCAGATGAGGCCTACAACATGCTAAAACCCAAACCAGTCATACCAAATACTTATTTGTATGTTCTGACTTCACAGGCAATATGGCATTTTCTTGATATGGCATTACATAAACAAGCATAAGTGTGTTTAAGAAATATCAGATTTTTGTAAGATACCATTGAGCTGATCAGTGTCTGGCTGCTCTCAGTAAAGAGTTTTGCTGCTTTCCACATGGTCCTACCTAACCTTCAAATCTTTACTTGATCCTAAAACTGGTTGTACCATATCTGTTAAATCTTCTTTAAATTACCAAGGACTCTATAATGCCTAGATTAACAATCCATTCAATTTATACCCACACAGGTAGGCCTTCAAACTACATAGTAGGTGGTAACTCACAAGCATGTGGCCAACTTTAGGCTGACCCCATATATACCCATATTTGCCCTAAAAGTCAGTATTTACAATCCAACCCCAGAACTTAACATGTAGCTTCCTAAAACCCTAAAATCAAACCCCCAACCTTAACTCTGTTCTTTTTTACATTTTGGATAGAGTAATACTAGGCACACACAGGTCAAATATTGGCAGGTTCAGCAGGAATCAGTGTGTACAGCTGTCTTTCTGGCAGAAGCTGGTCTAATGACTGGCTTTTGTCGAAGGGACATGCTGGAAACCAGCATCTGATCAGCGCTTACAGCTAATGCAGTGTTTCTCAACTCCAGTCCTCATGGACCCCCAACAGGTCATGTTTTCAGGATTTCCATTATTTTGCACAGGTGATTTGATCAGTTTCACTGCCTTAGTAATTACCACAGCTGTTTCATCTGAGGGAAATCCTGAAAACATGACCTGTTGGGGGTCCATGAGGACTGGAGTTGAGAAACACTGAGCTAATGGCTGCGAGCGCTGATCAGTGTGTTCTGACAGGGTGACAGTCCCTCTTTCAGAGCACATAGTCACAGCAGGGGAGATTGCCACAACAACATCGTGCATGTTTTGGTTTGGCGATCGATCATTTTTTTTTCTTCATTCAGCCCACTGGGTAGCACAAAAAAAATGTTTTACATGTGCACTGGGCTTAAGGGAGGGCTATAGTTCCACAACAGGAATTGAAAGGAAATCCCTTGAAAGTGAAGAAATCCCAGGGTGTCACCAGAACTAGTGTCCCCATTGGAAGCTATCCCCACAATATTTCTTTTACTTTTAGATATAATGGTAAACAAGACTAATAGAAAGGGTAAACCTCCCTAGGAGAGCCACTGTTAGCAATCAAATCAAAGGTGTTCAAATCCTTCTCCACTCCATCCAAACCTGAAAAAAGTTTGCTTTTAGTGATATTTTAATACTTAAGCTAGCCTCTTTACACCAGCATATGCCTTTTATTAGATAGAAGTATTAGGGCATCTAGTGCCAACCTAGCACCATTCCCCCCATCCCAATGCTTATGCCACATGGTTGACATCAAAAGATACCGCTTTGTCATTTTGCAAAGTGACTTCTGTAAAGCTTTGTAAGCATAATGTGCCTTTTGCCTGTGAAGCCTGGACAATATAATTTTTTTTTTAAATCTTCCTGAGCTGTGGTGCAGAATATGTCCATCCAATATAAAAAACATTGGCACTCTTTTCCCACATTGGAAAGGTCACAAGTAAGGACTCATTTCATCTCAACTGAGCACTGCTCCAGAACAAAACAGTAATTCTCATACTTCCGCATCTACATCAGCAGAGAGAATGCGTTTAATGTGAAATCAATGCCGCTTTAAACCGAACATTTTTGGTTACATAAACATAAACGTGGTACCTCTACTACTGCATGATAGAGCAAAGCGGATTCATGTTTGCAGATGTAATCTTCAAAGGATACGGTAATTACTGCATGTAAAGATTTATCATCACAAGGCAGCCCGACGGCTGTCAAAACGAGCAACATGAAAAAACATGACATCGCAAACTGACTTAAAACACTGGGATTAAAATGGGATTGTGACTGCAGAGAAGAGGACAGATGGAGGTAAATACAGACTAGTGTGCCATGGTGGAAATAAATACATCTGAAATATAACAAAAGGAAGCTTTTGATCACTGCCGCCTGCCACAGGTAATCAAAGAACTAAATAGATACCTATGACAGTGGTTCTGCCAGCAGACAGTCTACCTCAGCATGGCTGATTTATGTTAAGGGCTTAGACCCTACGCATCCCTGTTTTGTAAAAGAGTTGAATGCTAAGCACCAACACAGATAATGAAGAACTGAATATGTATCTATTGAAGCAATTTTGTCAGCAGCCAGTCTATCTCAGCACTGGTTAGTCCTTCCACCTAAAACTCAGACCCTTAGCCTCCTGTGGAAGTTGTACATGTTCCTTTTGACAAAAACAAATATATCTGTGTCAGGTAACATTACGAAGTGGCGATCCCATACTTGCTCACTTGACAGCAAAGGGCATCTTATCAACTGAAAAAGAAGCAGCCCAATCGCCTGTCTGACCATGGCAAAATTCGTTTCCAGAAAATCTGTATTATTATAAGGTTGGGTAGTTCCACAAGCTAAATGATGAAACAAATTTACAGAATAAATCTATTAAAACTATGAACAGTGAGTAATGAAAAACTGTAATAAACACAACCACAGGAAATGGGATTGGATATCCTTGTGCTGCTATTATCATGATGAGCAATATGAAAAGAGCATGGCGCAGCTTAATTGCTTTTGGCAAGCTACAATCTGGGACTCAGCTTTCTAATCATGAACCAATCGGTTCAAATTAAGGTCAGAGAGAGCAGAATAGAACAGCGAGCAAATTTATTTTATGCCTTTCAGCATGCAACATTCATGTGTTACAGGAGCCTGGCAAAAAAGCAGCCATGATGATGACATCACAACAGAGCAACAGCAAGGCTCACAAGCTCACGTCCTTTTGATGTCATGGCTCTGGATGGCAGAGCTGGCACAGGCCGTGCCCCCTCCTTGTGAGTGAAATGTATAGATGATGTATGGAATAATGTCATAGGTGGGATCTAGGGTGACAATGGAACGCTAAATCTAAATGATATAAAAAGATGCCGCTGTGGGCATTTTGTTTTATGGAACAGCACTCATGCACATAAGTCCTGTTGTCAGGTACCCTCAGGGATCAGCTCCTCCCAACCACGCGGCTGGATGGCCGGCTCGGCGTTGTCATTGTCTCTGGGGTTATGATCTGGAAGAGGGAATTGAGGAGGTTGACAGAGAACAGCAGTGCGACCGATTCAGTGACAGCTGCCAGTTTAGTGAAAAGAGGAAAAAATTATTGCAACATTGGCTAGTTGTAATTAGTCACTTTAATTGGACTTGTTCTGTAATTCTGAAAAAGTTTTAAAGCTTATCTAAGCTATTACTTCAGTTCTAATGAGTGTCAGGAAGATAACCAGCATTTATATTCATACAGGTAGCACTGACACCAATCACCATCGAATGTGTCAAGACAGATGATTATTGTCCAAGACAGGTTGGGAGGCGGGAAAGTTGTGGAATGACTCTGTCCTTGAGATAATCCCATTTTTGGCTGTCAGGGACTTTCTGTTAATTCCTTGATTCAAAGGAGTGAATTGTCTTCAAATCGCTGGGATAGAGATGTTAAAATGCTATTATATGTGGTTTTGAATGCTCCTACCTGTGTTCAGGAATGATTGGTTTATAAGAGGTGTGAAAGAAGTCATCTATATCAAACTGAAAGTTTTCTTCTTTGTTAAAAATGGGCACCTCAACTGGTTCCAAGAGGTTCGGAAGAGGTCATCTATGTCAAACTGGAACAACCATCCTGAACAAGGGTGGGGGCCTTCAACACCAACTGTTTTCCACATATAATATTGTTTTGCAATCTCTACTCCAGCAATTTGGCAACAATGCAGAACTTCAGACATATGACTTTGAAAATTAACACCATTACATACTTCCTGATATCAAGAATGGGAATATGTCATTTAGAACAGGATGATTCCACAGCTTTCAAACCTCCCATCCAATTCTTGGACACATGTCAAGGTGGCTGGAATAAGGTGTCAGTGCTACCTATGTAAATATAAATGTTGGGTTATATTCTTGACACAACATGAACTTGAGAAATGGCTTTTGAGACACTTTGAAAAGTCTTCTAGATTACAGAACAAGTCCAGTTGATTGTGACTAACTACTACTAGCTATACCATGACCTGGATAAATAAGAACCTTTACAGACACATTGCAACAATATTACAGTACAACCTAATTAATAGTTTACTCTGCTGGTCAATAGCAGCTCCTCTAAAACCTGCTAGGCGAAAAGACCTACAAAAAGGCTTAAAAAACAAAAACCATACATTGAATTAACACAAGCAAGGGTCCATTTACACTTCAGCACACTAGATCCACCTTTTCCATAGCTAAAACACAAGGAGTTTGATATCATTGGGTTTAAAAGTAAACCTTAAAGTGTCACACATCATTAAAAAAATATCAATAAATACTGTATTACATGCTGTTAATCACATGCAAGGAAAATTTAAAAAATAATTTTTGCTTGCACATGATTGAATGATGGAAGTCCGCAAAGCTTCTGCTCATTTCCTAAGCTCTAGAGCAACTGCTCTTGCGAAGTGCAACTGCCCTTTGAAAAGTGCACAGCATATTTGCCTTTAGCAAATCAATCTCTATGGGGTAGATTTAGTAAAGGCAAACTGACTTTGCACTTTGCAAAGTGAAGTTGCACTCCGCAAGAGCAGTTGCTCCCAAGCTTAGTAAATGAAGTACAGCTTCATTTTGCAAAGAATACCCAATCACGTGCAGGGAAAATAAAAAAAAAGCATTTTTGTGTGCATGTGATTGGATGATGGAAGCCAGCAGAGCTGCTCATTTACTAAGCTCTAGATCAACTGCTCTTGCAGAGTGCAACTGCACTTTGAAAAGTGCACAGTCTATTTTCCTTTAGTAAATCAACCCCAATGTGTTTTAGTATTGTGGCTTGTAGTCTTCACCAGGGAAACATATGACAGCATGTGACAATATGGGAAACGTGACAATGCAAAACACAATTGAAAGAGAGCTCTCGCATCATCACAGAAAGTATTTGAACAAGGATCGCAATGCTGGAGCACCAGGGATTAAAAATGATTTAAAATGATTGTAAATGACTTATGAAATTACTTTAACTTTTCAAAGGACCTTTGACATCCTTGTTTAGTAGTAATGCACATGTTACTGCAACAAACAGCAAAACACTCCACAGGTGATGTGGTGTCATTCATTTCAAATGATACCCCACTGCTCTAGGGTGTTACACTGTGCGCAATGTGTTGCAAAGCATTATGTTACAAACTTTCCCCAACATGCACATTTTGGATTGTTTTGTTGGTAGACCATTTAATTTTCAGTCAACTGCCATAAAGCAATGCATGCGAAAATGTAAATGGTCACTGAACATTATATGAGATTTCGGGGATTTGGTCCTTCCTAAGATAAATTTAAAAAAAAACTTTGAAAACAAATTATATGAGATTTCAGCGATCTCCCCCCCCCCTAAAAAAACTGTAAAATAAAAACAAACAAACAAAAACAAAACAAAAACACATTAGGCTCAATTCACAAAGCTTCAACTGTAGCTTAATGCACTCTTTTGAGGCCAATTCGCACTGCCTGTATAGCAAACTGCTGACATTTAGTATATGGGCTGCTATATGTTCTGGCCACAGAGAGCCATCAGTAGGGGGAGGTGTGATATGCGTTTCAGCACCTCACAGTGTTCCCTTTTTTGTATCAGCTTTTCTTTTTTTAAAGTGCACAAAAAGTGACAATTAATTCATGTCACTGTAAAACAGCACAGTGCATTGTGCTGCTATACCATGACATGTGATCCCTTCTTGTATGCTGTGATAAATTGCCGGATGTCTGCATTTCATCACAGCCCCCTGCACCACACCTCCACAGTGCCTTGCAGTTTGAAAACCAAACATAGAAAACAACTGTTTTCTGTGTGTCTTAGCAGTGACCTGTGATCATGCATTCAGGCAAAACGCAGGTCACCACACCAAATGTGAACAGGGCCTTAGACAAGTGACTGATTTTCAGATTTCATTGGACTCTACTGAAAATAATTGTAATTTTTTTTGAAAATCTTGTGTATGTTAGCTTTGTGAACTGACCTATTTTACAGAACACAAAACATTTTTATTGCAGAAGTGTAAGTAGACCCAAGGAGAAGAAAAGACAGTAGTGTCATTCCAAATGTTCAATATGTACAAATCTTTGCACTCAGGAGGTGTGGGGACTAGTAGTCCCTCCAGGGACCATACTGCTCATTCATGTTTTAAACAGTTCTTTTTTTCCTTCTGAAACAGATCTACATGAAACATGCAGGGCACTAAATTTTTATTCTAGACTAATGCCAGTTGTTCCTTAAAGTGAAACTCCAGACAAACGACTACATGTTATATATCTAGTGTTTCACCTGGCAAAAGATTTGTAATTCCGTGAGGCCAGATCTCATGATTTAAACATTTGTGCCATATTGCTGAGCCAGGAAGATCCCTGAACTACATTCAGTTGCATTGATTCCTGTTAATAGGCGAAGAGGCTGATTAACTGAGGTGACATAAGAAGTACATTTGCTGAATCAGAAATATGTGTGTCGCCTGCCAAGCTATACTTAATGACAGAACCTTGGTCATGTAAACACATATGCATTTACATGTGTATTTACCTTTCTGCCTGGAGTTCCAATTTAAAGAGCATCTAAACCCCCAAAAATTGTAATATATTGCAGCTTACCAGTCCTTTGTTTGTTGGCTGCATTAGTTTTCCTTTTATAATATTTTTTCCTTATTAAAGTGTTACTAAGCCCAGGACCCTGCATTCAGTATTTCTGATCTCCCACAGTACACAGAACATGGAAATGCAATTATTTTAGTAAATATAAACTGCTAAATACCTTTTCTCATCATCAGTTAGAGCAATCATGTGACTTCTATCAGTGTCCAGCCCAGCACTAGCTAAAGCTTGTAGGAGGAGTTTTCTTTCTACTCTAGGAGGATGGAAATCCCCTGACCCTCTATCTGGACAGTGCTGATTGGCCCTGTGGTAATAATCATATGCGCTCTCCAAAAAAAAAAAAAAAACCTCTCTAGCAACACACACCAAACTAAGCATGTGCAAAAGGGCTACGGGTTCAGTCTGTATCAGGTGGTCATTTCAACAAGAGGAGGGGCAGAGAAGAAAGGATTAACCCCTTAGGTTCCACAGTGAGTATAAACAAGCATGCTTTACTGCCTATACAGACTGATTTTACTGTTGTGGGTTTAGTATCACTTTAACAAACCAATGTCATGCATTGCTACAACATTCAGCACCTCCTATAGTCAATAATCAAGTACTGCAACCAGCCAACAACTAAATCACACAAAAGATTGCTACACACAGATGACAAAGTTTTGCCATGTCTAGTTCTACCAAAATAGTTATATATATTTGGTCAGCAATGCTACACATCTGGTGGTTACTGCTATTGTCTGATGAGAATTAGCTGAGCATCTGCATTGTTAAAGGCTTGAAAATATTACCCGGACTTTCGTCAGTAGGCACATGGTAGACAAAGCTTCCCGGAGGATGTTCTGCTGCCCGCCGGTACCACAAGGGAAAGTGATCCATGGTGAATATGCTTTCCTTTTCTTCATATTGCAGAAATTTCCTAAATGGAAAAAAATGTAATAAATATGACAAATATGTTGGCAAGGCAGCATTGCTATGCATCATTACTAAACTGGAAGCAGAGTATAATATGCCTGCCCCATGTACATATATACTCATGACCTATACATAAAAACAATGGCAAACACCAGTAAGATTATTTGCATTTAGCTAACCACACTGACGTGTTTTATATCCAAGTTAAAAAAAAAAATTATATAAAAAAGTCAAAACTTTCTGTTGCATTTTAAATAAAGGATGAAAGGGTAAAAAGTTTTTTTGCCATCTCTTATTAGGGAGATTTTCCTTTGCTTCTTGTCTTGTACTCAAGAAGACAGAGAGAGCCAGTCAGCTTCCAGTCTACATATTAATTTCAGAACTTGTTACTTTGATATAAAAAGGAAACAATTTGTGACTCTTATTCACAAAAAATAGAATTTATTTTGAGTGATGACGTTTTAAGATCTGACCATTGGGATTTTTTTTATTTCTAAACATAATACATGAACCCCCCCCCCCCCCCCCCCAAATATACAGTCAGGTCCATAAATATTGGGACATCGACACAATTCTAACATTTTTGGCTCTATACACCACCACAATGGATTTGAAATGAAATGAACAAGATGTGCTTTAACTGCAGACTGTCAGCTTTAATTTGAGGGTATTTACATCCAAGTCAGGTGAACTGTGTAGGAATTACAACAGTTTGCATATGTGCCTCCCACTTGTTAAGGGACCAAAAGTAATGGGACAGAATAATAATCATAAATCAAACTTTCACTTTTTAATACTTGGTTGTAAATCCTTTCCAGCCAATTACAGCCTGAAGTCTGGAACGCATAGACATAACCAGATGCTGGGTTTCATCCCTGGTGATGCTCTGCCAGGCCTCTACTGCAACTGTCTTTAGTTCCTGCTTATTCTTGGGGCATTTTCCCTTCAGTTTTGTCTTCAGCAAGAGAAATGCATGCTCAATTGGATTCAGGTCAGGTGATTGACTTGACCATTACATAACATTCCACTTCTTTCCCTTAAAAAACTCTTTGGTTGCTTTTGCAGTATGCTTTGGGTCATTGTCCATCTGCACTGTGAAGCAGCGTCCAATGAGTTCTGAAGCATTTGGCTGAATATGAGCAGATAATATTGCCCGAAACACTTCACAATTCATCCTGCTGCTTTTGTCAGCAGTCACATCATCAATAAATACAAGAGAACCAGTTCCATTGGCAGCCATACATGCCCACGCCATGACACTACCACCACCATGCTTCACTGATGAGGTGGTATGCTTAGGATCATGAGCAGTTCCTTTCCTTCTCCATACTCTTCTCTTCCCATCACTCTGGTACAAGTTGATCTTGGTCTCATCTGTCCATAGGATGTTGTTCCAGAACTGTGTGGGCTTTTTAGATGTCGTTTGGCAAACTCTAATCTGGCCTTCCTGTTTTTGAGGCTCACCAATGGTTTACACCTTGTGGTGAACCCTCTGTATTCACTCTGGTGAAGTCTTCTCTTGATTGTTGACTTTGACACACATACACCTACCTCCTGGAGAGTGTTCTTGATCTGACCATCTGTTGTGAAGGGTGTTTTCTTCATCAGGGAAAGAATTCTTTGGTCATCCACCACAGTTGTTTTCCATGGTCTTCCGTGTCTTTTGGTGTTGCTGAGCTCACCGATGCGTTCCTTCTTTTTAAGAATGTTCCAAACAGTTGTTTTGGCCACGCCTAATGTTTTTGCTATCTCTCTGATGGGTTTGTTTTGTTTTTTCAGCCTAATGATGGCTTGCTTCGCTGATAGTGACAGCTCTTTGGATCTCATCTTGACAGTTGACAGCAACAGATTCCAAATGCAAATAGCACACTTGAAATGAACTCTGGACCTTTTATCTGCTCATTGTAATAGGGATAATGAGGGAATAGCACACGCCTGGCCATGGAATAGCTGAGAAGCCAATTGTCCCATTACTTTTGGTCCCTTTACAAGTGGGAGGCACATATGCAAACTGTTGTAATTCCTACACCCTTCACCTGACTTGGATGTAAATACGCTCAAATTAAAGCTGACAGTCTGCAGTTAAAGCACATCTTGTTCATTTCATTTCAAATCCATTGTGGTGGTGTATAGAGCCAAAAATGTTAGAATTGTGTCGATGTCCCAATATTTATGGACCTGACTGTATATTCCCTTTAGTGTATATTAAATGTTATATATTATGATCCAAAAGAAAAGATCATATTGTAAAATTAATTAGTGTCCATGAATATATGAAGGAACAAATCTACCTCATGTATGACATTTTTAACAATGCTGTTAAGGACAAGTGACTTTTTTTTGCCTCTAAATGCTCCTGCATGTTAGCCTATGTGTCCATAGTATTTACAGGAGATTAGAAGTTTAAAGGCAGAAAAATAACCCACTGCTAGTGCATCTAGGAGCAGCACCGTTTGGCAAAAAATTGTTTGGATTTTTTATGTAAACGTGTGCAAATGCGTCTAAACGTGTGTTAACACTAGCACATTTAGCACTTGAGCTGTATCTGATTTCAATGGCCATTTAAGTTAAATTTTGGCCAATTAAATGAAAAAACGCCAAAGCTCTTGACGCACCTAAATGCATTACACTTACATCAAAATGCTGTTGCAAGGAAGAAAGGTGTATAGGAGAGATGGTCAAACCTCCAGTGTGCATGAGGCCTTACTCTCCCCCAAAAATACAGGAACTGTTAGCAACTGTGCCACAGTACCATAAAATAATAGTTTGAATGTCTGTGCTTACAAATCTAGGATGAGGAACACCTGTCTAGGTATGGAAATCCCTGGTGTATTTGTATAGTTATCTTCTACTATAGTTTCACTTTTCACCACAAGATGGCAACATTGTCCTTACAAGCATATTTCCACAGCTGTGTCTTGCTGTTATAATAGCAGTTTGCAATTTAAAATGATTATCATCATCACCAAGTACCAGCATGTTCTACAGTGCCATACGCAGAGCACTGCATGCTCTACCTCTGATTCTGAAAGCTGTATATAGCATAAAACCTCTACTACCCCCCAATACTATATAAGCCTGTTCCTAGCAAAAATCAAGAGGATTTTTCAATGTCACAAAATTGGCTACTGAGATTAGCATACATATAAGCTCACTGCACAGTCCAGCTCTTTAAGAACACAACCAACCTCCCTCAACCCCATTCCCCCCACACACATCCCTTTACGTCACATTTAGTGGAGGATTTTAGAACAAGCACTTTCAGTATATGTTTCAGGTTTACTGAAAAATGTGTCAAGGCAAAACATAATTGAATAAAGTTCTATTTGTGTAAGAAGCATGCAGACCAACAGCCCTATCATTTACATGCATCTCATAAAGTTTGCTTGATCTATTTATGTCAAAAAAAAATTAAAAATTCACATTTTATTTTAGTGTTTATAATTGATAAACTAATATTTTATATCTGTTTTGCACTATGTTCAGTCTTTGCAAAAAAAGCATTTAATACATGACAAAGGATCCCCAGAGCACTATATGGGTTAGCTAAAGAGACAGCTCACTGGGGCAGTTTGCTTTGCAGATGCCCTTGTCTGATTGAAATCTGACACTAAGCTGCCTGATCATTGCTGTGATGAATCTAATGATGTGAAAAGGAAAGCAGAACTTGATATATGATACACATCATAATAATAATATGCAATAATCCAATATATATATATATATATATATATATATATATATATATATTATTATAAATTAAAACAAAGAAAGAAAATGAATATAAATTGCAATATATCCTACAGGAAAGGGTCCTAAGGATGGTTAGAAAACTTGTTGGATTCCACATACTACATGAATGGAGGTCAGCTAGGTTAAGGTGGAGATCTTTTCCCACCTGTGAACTGACAAGCAGTCCAAATAACCCATCTACCAATTCAGGAAATAGAATTGGAAGAACACTCTCTCCAGGTTGCAAGAAACAGACTTGGTTTTATAGGAAAATAGGAGACAAAGATGAGCATCTTGACCAATTCAGCTAGTGCTACTGGTGGTTCTCCTGATGGGCCCATGTCCTGCTGGCCTGGGAAAGTGTCCTTCGTTGTCCTTAAATTGGCCCAAACAATACACAACTCACTTGTTTGACATCTGTTCGGCTCCCACATACAAATTTTTCCGAATAAGGCCAGCACGGGTACCCAGAAAAGCCACCTCGATTCCATCTTCCTGTCTGCAGCAAAAGAAAAAAAACATACAGGAGTTATCTGGGAAGAAAAGGAAAGTGAAACATCTTGAACAGTAAAGCAGGTGGAAGTCAATAGCCTGTAATGAACCATCAATATCTCCAACAGAGATGATGGTCATTTACTGAGAACAGGTACAACACAGCATCACACATAAAAAAAAATGGGAAAAGAGATACAAAATAGTCTACAAATGGTTGTCCTTCAACTGGCTCACAGAATGTGACAAAGGTGGTCTTCAAGTTGGGTCCCTCCAGGGAACCCTGGGTTCACCAACTGTCCATACTATGGTACTTTCTGAGCGAATGAGATGGGTCCTCTTCCCAAGCTGGATTCCACTAACAGTAACACCTATGAGGTTCTTTGAATTTAGTGCCAAAGGGGTTGCGGTCATGGTGCCCTGGATTGGTCTGTGACTGGATGACATTTGTTCAACTGCCTAAGTGTCTGCTGCCCTTAAAGAACACATTGATACCTAGCAATACTTGTAAGACCTGCCATGGCGACCTTGGTCACTGGTCAACCACAGTCCCCCCCTCACTATAGCTAACAAAACAACTTGCACGTGCACTCCAGATTGATTTAACTTTTTTTGACCAAAGGTCATTGAAGCCTAGATGCCAGGTAGGGTCACTATGTATCCCCCTTCATGTGTTGGTTCTTTCTTCCGCCCTTCATGCCACTTCAGAGCTCAGAAGTGAGTATTATATCAGAGGAAAAAAAAGGTGCAGGGCAGGGGACACAGGCACTTGATACTGCTGTAAGTGTTAATTGCTGAAAAGGCTTTGAGGCTGCAGATTCGAGTCAGAAGGAAAGTAGGGGACATGGGCCGTTAAAGAGACGAGCTGGCTTCTATATGTAGTGATGTGCCAGTATTAAAATTTTAGAGCCCTGACAGGATCTCTTTAAAGTACAAAGGCTGGTGTTGCTGACTCCTTTCCTTATATTGCAGTTGCCTGGCCATGTTTGACTTTAGTACTTTCAAGTCAATGACTGAAATGAGCATGCAGCAATTGAAAGCTGGAATACAAGGGTTTCTTATGGCTGTACTTGTTCGAAACAACGATTCAAAGTATCGAAGTCACTGGATTAACATGGCAGTTTCCAGGTTTCCCTCAAGACAATTTTCCGTTAAAGACATAAAGATAAAATTTGTCAAATGAGGCAATGAAACAGCAATACTTTCCGCAGCAGATTATTAAGGAGGTGCATTTACATCTTTGAAATCATTTTTATTACTCACTTTGACATATTAAGAGCCACCTGTGTCCAGTAGGCTTCCAGCGGCGCAGTGACCACAGCATCAAACAAAACTTCCTTTACCAGCTCCTCATCACCTGCAAGAGAAGAATAATGAGCAGCTATTGTAACTCCCTCCTCATTGACATACCTAATCGCATGCTATCCCCTCTTCAGTCTGTCATGAATGCTGCTGCCAGACTCATCCAACTTACCAACTATTCCATGTCTGCCATCCCCCTCTGCCAATCCCTCCACTGGCTTCCCATTGCCCAACGGAAATAATTAAAAACATTAACAATAACATATAAAGCCATTTATAACTCTGTCCCAAATTACATCACCAATCTTGTCTCCAAATATCACCCAAACTTTCCTCTCTGCTGCTCCTCCCACGACCTCCTGCTCTCTAGCTACCCTTGTCTCCTCCTCTCATGCTCGTCTCCAAGACTTCTCCAGAGCCTCTATCCTCTGGAACTCTCTACCTCAATCTATCTGACTATCGCCTACTCTGCCCACTTTTAGGCGATCTCTGAAAACCTCTCTCTTCAGGGAAGCCTTTCCTGCCTTCAGCTAATAACGGAACCTTTATTCCTCCTATCAGTTCATCCCCCACAGTTATTACCTTTTGTACCACCAGCCCCTTCCTCTTAGACTGTAAGCTCCAAAGAACAGGGCCCTCCTATCCCTCTTGTATTGAACTGTATCGTTGCTGTATTGTCTCCCCTTTATATTGTAAAGTGCTGAGCAAACTGTTGGTGCTATATAAATCCTGTATAATAATAATACAAATAACATAGGACTAGTTCCCTTTCTTTACCAGCTAAGAATAAGTTTAAAGTTGAATTCACCTTCAGTCTTGCACAGCTATACTTGCCCCTCTTTTATATAGAAATTACGTATTCTGATTTTGCTGCGCACTCTGGGCTTCTCTCAATGTACCATAGATATTGTAGCGAGTCACATAGATCCTGCCCCATTTCCTGGCTGGAGGACATCCAGAATCACCTAGTGCTTCCGTCCCCAACCTGACTGTCCCTGGCTCACCCCTTTCATTCATTGAATTTCAGTTCTTTCAATCAAAGAGGCTCAGAATAAAGTTACCTAGGGCAGTCTGCATGCATATATATATAAAACTTCTTAGGAATGCCTACTCCTTCAAACTTACACCCACCCAACAAGGTATTTTAATATTTACATAACTCCTCCCAAGGGCAAGCCCGCTGCTTGCATCAGGGCTGAGGGCTCTTGAGACAAGTACAGGGTACCTCAACCATGATTTGCCTACATTGCGCAACAAAACATAGAGACCCAGTGATTACATCTGGGTCTAAAAAAAGGTATGTCAAGAAAACAGAATGGTTTTATTTAATAATGTTATTGATACATGAATAATGGGAGTAGGAAAAGGAAAATATATCCAGACTAAACTTCAACAGTAAGAACCTGTTCTAAATAAATCACAACGAAAAGAATCTTTCGAAGAGGAAAGATTATGGAAGAAGTTGACAGTTTTTAGGTAATGCCGTCCTTCTATTTGCTGGGGACAGCACCACAGCATGAGCCACTTTGTCAAAGCAACGTCACTAGCTCCAGGTAAACCGAGGGACTGAAAATTGCTTTGACCAAAAGAACAATCGGTATAAGTTCACACAGACCAAACTTCTTGCAGATATTTCCTTTAACAAGGCACCAATTCTCTCCAGTCCATCAGAACGGTTGTATGAAAATGTAACTGTTGTAACTGTAACTGCTCATGTCCCCCCTACTGATCAATTCAATTAAAGTTTATTTCCAATGACTGCTTCTTTTTTGCAAGCTCATATGTTCTTGGTTACGCTCAGGCAACACAAATAGTGCTTATTTCAGGTACTTTGATGAATAGTCTTGCTTACTAGCACTAAATTGACAGGCTGCATTCCTGGGACATTCACAAATACCCTATTCTAAGCATTACGCAAACATTGTTCCATGTAACTAAAGGGATTTGCAATTGAGACACCACAGTTAGAATTAATTATCTGGATAAAATTTATTTGCAATATAATAAAAGACTTTGTCAAAGAGCCAACATGTTTCAGGGGCCAGAGACCACTCCCTTCATCAGAGCCAGGCCCCCTTCATCAGTCTTTATCTGATTTGATATTGGGATAAATTTATATCTGGACAATTCATTCTCAGGGAGGCTCCCTTAATCACAGATCAATTTAGTTACAAACCAAGGAAACTGTGGAAATCCTTTGACATGTAGATTCCCAGAATCCAGATAGCCTGTCCAAAACTACTACAATTCCTATTCCAATAAGACAACCCTTGGGTTCCAGTGTTACTATTCCATCTCTCCCAAGTCATTGTCCCAAAGGGGTTGCATAATATTGCTTCAGTGATGTCTGTAGGGGGACAGGAAGGTGTCACTCACACTCCAGGTCCGGATCCTCTCCCATCAGGAAGCGGGTGACTGCTTGCAGCTGGTTCAGTTTGCGGTGATCAGGGTCAATATCTGTAATACAGTAAATCCTGGGGAAGAAGACAAAGTCTCATGACACATATGAACTACCTTTGCTGGAAGCACAATATCAGCTTATTCATATTGATAATAAAGCTTGAGGAAGCCTAAGGAAGAGGCGCTGCCACCTCAAAACATGTTACCATGCCCCCTATACACCCCTGGAATCTGACATCATCCAAAAGTTTCCCTCGCTGTCAGTCTTCTGACAGCTCAGATTCTGTGCCTACTGTGAGTGGTTTTATGCTGGTTACATAGTATACATATTTAGTCTGTCTGAAAAAAGACAAAAGTCCATCCAGTTCAACCATAGAAAAAAAAAAAAGTTATAGTCCTATACCCACAGTTGATCCAGAGGAAGGCAAAAAAAACCCCAGCAAAGCACGATCCAATTTGCTCCTACTGGGAAAAAAATTCCTTCCTGATCCCCCGAGAGAGAGGCAATCGGATATTCCCTGGATCAACTTTACCTATAAATGTTAGTATCCAGTTATATTCTGTGTATCTAAGAAACAATCCAGGCCTTTTTTGAAGCAATCCACTGAGCTGGCCAGAACCAACTCTTGAGGGAGTCTATTCCACATTTTCACAGCTCTTACTGTAAAGAAACCTTTCTATGTTTGGAGATTAAATTTCTTATCCTACAGATGTAAAGAGGGCCCCCTTGTCCTCTGTGATGACCTCAGGGTGAATAGCTCTACACCGAGTTCACTATATGAACCACTGATGTATTTATACATGTTGATCATATCCCCCCCTAATCTCCTCTTCTCAGGAGAGAAAAAATTCAGTTCCTCTAATCTTCCTCATAGCTGAACTCCTCCATGCCTCTCATCAGTTTGGTTGCCCTTCTCTGTACTTTCTCCAGTTCCCCAATGTTCTTTTTGTGAATTGGTGCTCAAAACTGAACTGCATATTTCTGGTTAGCTTGGAGCTTTATCATTGGGTACATCTCTTGGGTCCACAGAGGACGGCCTCATTACACATATTAATCCTTTTAGTATTTTACAAAATGTGAATGCATCTTATTCTTTTACTTCAACAAATATACTTTAGTTTCTGCACTTAGATGCACCCTTTTGCATTCTTTCATTTTACTGTCGATATTCCTTCAGTCTGATGAGGAACTGCTCTAAGGTTCTTGTGGTGAGCTACTGACTGCATGGATTACCATTGATCAGGTTACCACTATTTCTAGGACTACTAGTGACATTTGTGATATAATGGACTATGCACATTTTATTTCCAATGTGCATGACATAAAGTGAACCTTTAATATTTGTTTAAGTAAAAGTATTTAAATGCTGTTTTATATTTTTTATCTGTTTACTATAAGTCTTCATCTTATGAAAAAAAAGCATGCCTGCTTTGATGTTCTGTTTATCTGGCTAAAACCCCAGATGGAACTGCCTGGCAAGTGTAGAATAAGGTAATTGTGTGTGAAAATTGCAGTTTGAACTATTGAGGACTGTAAGCAGGTAAGTGGCCAGAAAATAGAAGAAAATGAAAGAGAGCCTATAGCGCCACCTTTTGGCTATATAGAAGACTACAAATCTGCTATGCAATAACTTTAAGTTGATATTGAAGCAGTGTCACCATGTGTGAAGTCTTCACTCACCATTCATTGGCCAGGGTCAGGTCAGGGTGAAGGAGGTCATGAAGTCCTGAAAGATAAACGGTGAGATGCAGAAAAACAAAGAGTACAAAAAATTTAGCTGAAGTTGGACTTAACACTCTATGGAATGTGCTATTCTCAGTGACACAAGCCTTGTTTCTACTTTCCAGCAGCACTGTTTCCTCTTGGTATCATCAGACTCTCTCCCCCCTATGGTCTGTGATGTGTAGAGCTGTGACATTCTTACTGTTTGGAGGGTCAGGCATAATCTGTAGCAGAACCACCACCCCCAATTGGCACCAGTACAAATACAGAATAGTTATTGCAGAAAAAGAGCACGTGGTCCATCAAGTCTGCCCTTTATTTTTTAGTCTGCATTGCACTGCAAAAAATTGTAGCATGACAAAAATGTCAAAAAAACTAGAAAAGAAAGCGCCAACCAATAATATCACCCTTCTGCAGCAGCAAACCTCTAACCCAAAATATTGGTGAAAAAATAAAAAATCACAATTCGGAATGCGCTAAATTATATCACAAAATGAATTAATTTGTGTAAAAAAGTCCAAACATCTTAAATACAAAAAAATCTCCAGTGAGGCAATCCATAAATAAGTGTAAAAAAATGTGTAGAAACAAATGTCCAACACCCCAAACAAAATTTCTTCTTAAACATATAAATACACCGTGCTTAATCCACCACCAAATGAATGGAATAAACTCACCAGAGCTCAATGCTGATCAAATTATAAATCAGCACAAGCGTGTTTGCTCTGGGAGCGATGAGAGAAGACAGATCATGAAGCAACACTCTGTAGCATGGACACATCCAGATACCAGGAGCAATACTCTGCAGTAACTCTGAAGTATGGCCAGGACTCCTTATATAGCGATCATCCTCCAAATATATAGTAATACCACTCAAAAATAAAGGAAAGGCATGATGGTGCAGTAAGTAAAAACCATTTAGCTTTATTGCAATCTCATCTTACTCACAAAGTTAAGTGTCCACCTGACACTGGTATAACAAGCGATCAGATACAAGGAATGGACGAGCCCCGTTCACCGCGGACACCTCGCCGACAGCTCCAGGGAACGTCCTGACGTCATCCAATAAGCTCCGCCCTACGCGTTTCGTCACTCTGACGTCCTCACGGAGCGGCATGGATCAAGACGTCAATACAACCCATATATACCGCTCGCACTCTGCATAATAGTGCTTCTTAACCAATAGCGGCAATGATACAATGACACACCCGCTTGCACTCTGCATGGCGGTGCTTTAACTAATCATAGCGGCGATATAGTAACACACCGCCACTCAATTGGTAAAGCTGCACAATATAGCAGCAGATGCTGACGGCATATACATCAGCATCTATAACGACATAGAACGGCAATACATCAGCATCTATAACAGCATATATCTTTCCATTCATATATTAGCATAAAAGACCATATATTCAAAAATGAATGAGCTATATTTTACATCAAACCCTTTACTAAAATATATTTACTAAAAACATTAACTAAAAGGGAAACATATTCCAAAATGTCAAACCCTATAAAAGAAATTATACATCTCAATATACACAGACATCTATATTTCTTTATCAACCAGTCTAATCAATTTCAAAGATCTTATCTCATAGTCACCAATTTTTATAAAGGAAAACTCCATTCCACTCCATACCCAAAAGGGATACATATATATACATATACACCCATATCATATATATTTTAACCTATATATAGGACTTTAATTTTAAATAACATCTTTATATCCAATACTAAACTCCAACATTATATCACTTAAAGGGACCCTCCTCATATCAGCAGATAACTTCAAGGGGGAACCCCTTCGAATTATTTTTACAAATAATATGTATATGTATATATATCTCCCCTTTTTAAACATCCTTGAGGCGGACATACCTCAATATACATCTCCCTCAATTTTATAAAATTTATTTATTTAAAAATTCGTTAGGAAACAATTTAGATCTATATCTATGTTTAAACCGTTAGGTTTCATTACATCTAATTCGTGTATCCAAAATGTCTCCCTTTTGGATATTTCATTAATCATATCTATTCCTCTCCAATATTTTTGCACCTTCTCTATTCCATAAAAAGGTTACCAGACTTGGATCACTATTGTGTTTTAATTTAAAGTGTTTGGACACACTGTGTTTATCGTATCCCCTTTTTATATTGTTAAGATGTTCTCCAATTCTTGTTTTTAATAACCTCCCTGTTCTCCCTACATATTGTAACCGACATGGGCACTCTAAAACGTAAATCACATGAGATGAATTACATGAGATTAATGAATTTATCTTATATTCCTTATTCGTATACATTGAAGAAAAACTCTTTCTTTTTTTCTTTAAATCTTTTTTTACTGTTTTACATGCCTTACACTTATTACAATTATAAAAGCCTTGTAATTCAGGAAAAAAGCTTTTTATTTCTTTTGGTGGATCTAGAACATTGTGGACCAGTTTCATCTGCAGTGATTTATTTTTTCTATATATAAATTTTGGTTTTTTTGGGATAATCTTCTTTAACGTATCATCTTTAAGCAGTATTGACCAATATTTTTTGAAAATCTTCTCAACATCCCTATATTGATTATTAAAATCCGTAATAAAGGCGATTTCACTCTTGTTCTCCTTGATTTTGCTACCCATCAGAAGTATATCTCTATCTTTATTCTCAATTATTCTTCTTTCAGTCTCCAAAAAAGACCTATTGTAACCTTTATCAACAAACCTTTCTATAATGAGACTAGTTTGATCTACAAAATCTTCTTGTCGGCTACAATTTCTTTTAATTCTGGTAAATTGGCTCCTTGGCGTATTAAACAACCATCTCGGATGGTGTCCACTAGAGGTGGGAATGTAACTATTTTTATCGACATCCTTAAAAAAGGTTTTAGTGTATATATCACCTTCATATTTATACAATGTGAGATCTAAAAAATTCACTTCTTCAACATCACTCATTGTAGTAAATTTTAACCCATATTTATTATTATTAATATTTCTAACAAACCCCTCTAAATCCTCTTTTGAACCCCTCCAAATCATCACAATATCATCAATATAACGCCTGTATAAAACTATTTCTGGCCATTTATCAAAGATGCATTCAACCTCCCATTTGTCCATAACAATGTTTACTACACTGGGCGCATACTTAGCTCCCATTGCGACACCCTTGGATTGCTGGAAAAAGGTGTTATTTACCAGAAAAAATTATTTGCCATAGCAAATTCCAACAAATTTAAAATAAATCGTCTCTGAGTAGTTTTAATCCTAGATTTCCGTTTTAAAGCCCATCTCACTGCTTCAATTCTCCTCCTGCTTAATTTAGTAAATATATTTTAGTAAATGTTTTGATGTAAAATATAGCTCATTCATTTTTGAATATATGGTCTTTTATGCTAATATATGAATGGAAAGATATATGCTGTTATAGATGCTGATGTATTGCCGTTCTATGTCGTTATAGATGCTGATGTATATGCCGTCAGCATCTGCTGATATATTGTGCAGCTTTACCAATTGAGTGGCGGTGTGTTACTATATCACCGCTATGATTGGTTAAAGCACCGCCATGCAGAGTGCAAGCGGTGTGTCATTGTATCATTGCCGCTATTGGTTAAGAAGCACTATTATGCAGAGTTGCGAGCGGTATATATGGGTTGTATTGATGTCTTGATCCATGCCGCTCCGTGAGGACGTCAGAGTGACGAAACGCGTAGGGCGGAGCTTATTGGATGACGTCAGGACGTTCCCTGGAGCTGTCGGCGAGGTGTCCGCGGTGAACGGGGCTCGTTCATTCCTTGTATCTGATCGCTTGTTATACCAGTGTCAGGTGGACACTTAACTTTGTGAGTAAGATGAGATTGCAATAAAGCTAAATGGTTTTTACTTACTGCACCATCATGCCTTTCCTTTATTTTTGAGTGGTATTACTATATATTTGGAGGATGATCGCTATATAAGGAGTCCTGGCCATACTTCAGAGTTACTGCAGAGTATTGCTCCTGGTATCTGGATGTGTCCATGCTACAGAGTGTTGCTTCATGATCTGTCTTCTCTCATCGCTCCCAGAGCAAACACGCTTGTGCTGATTTATAATTTGATCAGCATTGAGCTCTGGTGAGTTTATTCCATTCATTTAGTGGTGGATTAAGCACGGTGTATTTATATGTTTAAGAAAGAAATTTCGTTTGGGGTGTTGGACATTTGTTTCTACACATTTTTTTACACTTATTTATGGATTGCCTCACTGGAGATTTTTTTGTATTTAAGATGTTTGGACTTTTTTACACAAATTAATTCATTCATTGTGATATAATTTAGCGCATTCCGAATTGTGATTTTTTACATGACAAAAATGTATTTCATTTATTTTCAGTCCACTTAGTTTGAATGGGATGGCTAATGCAATGCACAAAAATGCAGTATGCTCTAGTGTGAATGAGCCCTTATTGTTGATTGAATTGCTGCCTCTGCTGGAAGTCTTTTCCCAAGAGTCCACTTCTCTTTCAGTAAAATGATACTGTCATATGTTAGTTTTGAACTTTACTCCTGTTAGTTTGTGATCATGTCCTCAATCTTAGCTTCATATTGAAAATACTGTCCTTCCACGGGCGCACTCTGTGACCGCTGTATCCCTTGGACACAGCTGATCACAGGTCACAGTAAAAGGCCAATCACACTGGCCCTTTACCATGTGATCAGCTGTGTCCAATCACAGCTGGTCACATGTAAACAGACTTGTCGGTTATCAGCATTTCCTTTTCTCACACGCTGTCTCTGTGTGAGGAAAGGAGAGCTGATAACCAGCAAGTCTGACAGGGAACAGTGAGTACGGTACATTGTTTACACTGATCAGTGCCCTGATTATCATTGCAGCCCCATCAGTGCAGCTTATCAGTGTCGCCTATAAGTGTCCATCAATGTCACCTCATTAGTGCAGCTTATCAGTGCCCATCAGAGCTGCCTCATCAGTGCAGCTTCATCAGCGCTCATCGGTGCAGTGCGCCTCATCAGCGCTCATCAGTGCAGCCTCATCAGCTCTCATCAATGCAGCCTCATCAGCGCTCATCAGTGCAGCCTCATCAGCGCTCATCAGTGCAGCCATCAGCGCCCATCAGTGCAGCCTCATCAGCGCCCATCAGTGCAGCCTCATCAGCACCCATCAGTGCCCTCATCAGCACCCATCAGTGCAGCCTCATCAGCACCCATCAGTGCAGCCTCATCAGCGCCCATCAGTGCAGCCTCATCAGTGCCCATCAGTGCAGCCTCATCAGCACCCATCAGTGCAGCCTCATCAGTGCCCATCAATGCAGCCTCATCAGTGCCCATCAGTGCAGTTTCATCAGTGCCCACCAGAGCAGCCTCATCAACACACATCAGAGAAGAAATATTACTTATTTGGAAATTTTTTAACAGAAACCAAGAAAAACGTTTTCTTTTCAAAGTTTTCTGTCTTTTTTTGTTTGCTTAGAAAACAAAAAAGAGTGGCGATTACCACCAAAACAAAGCTCGGTCTAAAAAAAAAATTAATACAATTTCATATGGGTACAGTGTTGCATGAGCATGCAACTGTCATTCGAAGGGTGAGAGCATTGAAATCTGAAAACTGGCCTGGGCAGGAAGGGGTGAAAGTGCCCGGTAATGAAGTGGCTAAAAAGGAACCAGGACCTCTTTCCTTCTGCTGTTGATCCCTCTAGCGATATCTAAAGATTTATATAGCGGAATTGGGATCTCCTTCTTTCTGCTAGGGATTCCTCTAATGGTGACCAAAGATCTACATAGAGGAATCAGAACCTCCCTCTTCCTGCTGGTAGCCCCTCTAGTGATAACTAAAGATCTACATAGAGGAATCAGAACCTCCTTCCTTCTGTTGGTGGTCCCTCCAGTGAGGCAATGATAACACATCCTACAGCAGAGAGATGTGACACAGCAAGGGACCAACATATGTCCAAGAGGTCTACAGAATACAGTTAGGGAAACTCTGTTTTGCAACAATTCTCACATGAAATTTTGTGCTTACAGAAAGTATAAGTGTACACAGATGACTAGCCACTTCAGCACTCACACCTTTACACCCTTTATCAGCTATATTAATTTTTTTTCACATTTTTTGGCACATGCCTATTGCTTCAGTAATAACTTTGTCGTTACTTATAATGCTAAAAAAAAAATACTTACAGTATATAAGAAATTAGAGTAAAGGACAAACTTTGTTTTGGCAATATTGTGTTGCAAAAATTATAATTTTGTTTGTGCAATATACAGCCAAACAAATTAACAAAATGTTTTGCTAAGAAAAACAAACACTTAAAGTTTATGTTCCCCCTATCATGTACATGTTCCATGGGATCCTGTACTCAAGATCGTTGATCCATGCTGGCATTGACAGGCTGTGTAGCCGCTCCTTCCCACATGGAGTTACAGGATGCTGTGCAATGCACTGTGTGCTTGTATCTCTGTGGTCATTTAAGCGTCCCAAACCCTCCGTCCTGCCCTGGAAGCAAGGAACACAGATGGGGAAGGTATCTCCGCACAATGTGTGACATCACCACCTGCTTGCCCACTTCATAAACTGACAAGATCATCCTTTGCAGAGGAGTAAGCATAAGGAAGGCTATGAGGTCACATGGCCGACTAATAACATTACTAAATAAGAGGACAAAAGGTTTATATTTGCAATCATGGTAGACATGGTAGACAAATATGACTTCAAGCAGAACTATGTGCTTTTCTTGTATGGTTTTCACATATATTTTAAGGTGAGGAGGAACAAATTATTTAGCTCCGTTTTAGAGTTAGGCAAGCATTAATAAAGAGTTAAATAGGGTTTAAAAAAATGAACACCTTGTTACAGTTCCAAACCTTTAGAAGTATATAAAACATACCAATAAAATGTTTAAGCATGGGCTTCTTACCTTCCTCCAGAGATGTGTTTCCGATAAGGATGTATTCCCCATGTCCTCGAGTCAGAACAACGCCAAGACTGTAAAGGAAGCAAATCTGGATCATTCATGTTTTCTTTATCTGTGTGTTACATACAATGGCTTAAAGTGGAATCCATCAAATGTGGAGCACCCATGAACAGCAGCTTACATCTTCTCACCTGAAAGGAGTGTCACTGATGTCTGTGTAAAAGTAATCACAAGTCATAAACAGGACACGCTTCTGTAAAGACAAGATGCAGGTGGCATTTATTGAAATGATGCATTTTGAAAACTTTTGTATTGAGAAGTAAAACAGTTGCTGCCACTCGCAAAACTCATTTCAGGATGTCTCTGTTATCATGCTCTTTATACAGACATACAGTAGGTGCAACAACCATTCTCACATACTGTATTATATTGTGATTAGCAGTTTAGCCACTAGGTGGTAGTGTTGTTTAATGCTTGTATAATGGAATGGTTTCTCTAGAGCAGCCTTTCCCAACCAGGGTGCCCAGTCACCCTGGGGTGCCTTGAAGTTTCATCAGGGGTGCCTTGGCAAAATTTCTAAAAATGGCCCAAAATTTGTATACAAGCCAGCGGGTGAAACAAGCCTGCCTTTTAGCTACACAAAGCCACAGGTTTTCATTGTGTACCATTATGACCTTCTAGCCACCAGCATCCTGACAACCAATGACATCATCAGTTGATAAGGAGGATGTCAGCTGCCTGCACAGCATCCTAGTTTGACCCTTCCCTGCCCCCCTCTATCAGTCTGGGGTCACATTAGCTCAGTGATGGAGAAAAAACTGTGGGAGAAGAGAAACGCTGGAATACTAGTCAGTACCAGAGTGGAAAAGTGTATTTGCTTTGGAAGAATAAATCACCTCTAATGTTGGGTGTCCTACATGTGTGGATGTTGCTGCGCGTTATATAAAACTATTACAATAGTTTTTCATATTTTAGAATGGGGTGCCTCAAGACTGTCCATAATTTTAAAGGGTGCCTTGACAGAAAAAAGTTGAGAAGCACTGCTCTAGAGCAGGGGTCTCCAAACTTCGTAAACAAAGGGCCAGTTGGCTGTCCTTCAGACTTTAGGAGGGCCAGACAAAGACAAGCAAAGGGCAACATCCGGCCCTCGGGCCACAGTTTGGAGACCACTGCTCTAGTGGAACAATATGGTTATGATGTAATTTTCTGTCTTTGTGTTCCTGTTATTTCCCCCCCACCAAAAAAAAAAAAAAATGAGCCCAGCCATGTGTCCAGCACCATCTTGACTGGTAAGATCTGCCGCAGCTTTCCAACAGTCTCTTTGTCCATGCATTAGGAATTTGTCCTGGCGGGTGCTGGGAGATTGCAGACACAGTTCTGGAACAAGTAGCATTGCCATGTGGAGGCACGGCCTGTAAACATGCCCACACCAAAGAACAATCCCCAGAAAGAGCTTGGATCCACTTACCCCTTTATCAACGGTGACTTTTACATCCATGCTGAGTGATCCAGTCTCTCCATTTATCATGGCTGTTCGGAGCTGTGTGAGAGACAATGCCAAAAAATGTAAGTCGCCCCAATACACAGCCAGAAGCCTAATTTAGTACATCTGTGCAATGCATGCACATTTTTTCCACTTTCAAATTCCTTTGACAAATGTTGCAAGAACAGAACAATTTCAGAAATCCACTGTGCTTTTAATTTCCTGTATGGGCTGACAACACAGTGCCTATGCTGCACTAAATTCACAGTTACTGTTGTCAGTCCAGCATGCTGGACTACAGAACTCTGCCCGTACTTCCTCATTTCTCTCCAATTGCTTACATTGATTTCTTTCCCAGCAAAACAATGCCACTGTAGCCTTGCTTGGCAGCCCACAGCTTGTGCGTTGGGAGTTCTGAGGGTATGCCTATGTCACTAAGAATGGAGCTAAGAGCAGCTGCCCTGCAACATTTGTACAGGCTTGGTGGTCATATACATACTGAATTAAAAGACGAAAATAATGCTGGGGCATGATCTAGAGGGGAAGAGGGAGGTTTGGGGGGGGACACCGGGTCATGTCTATACAAAAATCCTTTCATATGTGGTTTGTAAACTTAATTTAAAATACACTTTGTATCACGTGAGCGCAAGACCAGCAGAAGATCAATATTTAAGGCTGAACTCCAGACACAAAAAAATTTCATTTTAATATATTCTTCAATAACCACACATTCTATAAATCCACTTTGTGTGCAGCAAATGCCTTTACAAAGCCATCACTGTGCTGCACATAACATTTATGCACTCTTAATATCATTATTTTTTATTTCAAACTTTTTGGTTTTATCACTTACATTCTCATCTCGATCCTCCCACTCCACCTCAGACAGATCCACGCTGTTGTAGTTTGGCTTTGGCCTCAGTTTTTTGCCCTCCTTATACTGGAAGAGAAATATATACTGGTAATTATGGGTGTTTAAGTTAAATCTAACATTAAAGATTTATGCAGGCCATAGATGGGTCAAAAATCGACTGAAAAAAAAAAAAAATCGGCCGATTTTCGCACCGTTAATGGGTTAATTGGTTGGCCGTTTTTTCAGGGTTTTGGCACATTTTTTTTATCAGTAAAGTTGGAAAAAAATCGGCCGATTTTCCTGGCAATGATGGGAGAAGAAGAAAGAAGAAGAAAGAAGAAGAATTCCAGTCCGCTATTATATTTAACATGAAAAAGTCTTGCGGTTTCAACAATGTATCTATTTGTATCCGAATAAAAACATCTGTATCCGAAATGGATATAAATAGATACATTGTTGAAACCGCAAGACTTTTTCATGTCAAATATAATAGCAGAGCTCTCTGCAAGGGAAAGAAGTAATTAAATGCCGGCCGTAGACGGGACAAAAGTCGGCCTATTGAACGACCGATTTTTTGTTTTTTTTTGTTTTTTTTTTTAAACGGCCGGTTTTTGACCCATCTATGGCCTGCATAAGTCCAGCAAAATAGTAAAAATAGGATCAGTGAGCTACTAATACTATCCAGCATACACTGCAACTGCGCTAAAAAAAGAATGTGCACTAAGGGGGGCACGTCAATGACATCATGTGATCATTTAGACCCAGTCTAGTAAAAGAAAGCACTGTGATGAAGACGTGATGAATTTACTGCCAAAGTTATGAAAGCTAAAGGTGTGATAAGGTGGCATAACCTCTGAGGACCAGTGCAGTGAATACTGGCAGTGTGATGTTATCATGTGATCATTCAAAGTCAATGTAATGAATACTGACAGCAGGATGGTGTCAGAACTTTCTCCCTACAAAAATTGATAAACAATAGACATTTTAATATATTCTTGAATTCTCAGATGGTCAACCACAGATACTCACCAATGGGCGTAAATCAGGGTGTGACAGTATGTAGCCATTGTTTGTGTGTTCAGGAAGGCATAACCATGAACACCAAGCTATAAAAAAAAAATTCTAAAATCATTATCATTCTCAAGAGAAGTTTCACTTTTCATTTTTTAAGCTAATATTTTAAACAAGCCCCATACGATGAGATGACAGGTCCACTTTTACATAAAATGCTTTTTCTACCGGTATGAACAAAGTGCAAACTGACCCAGACATGCCAGGTCAGTAGAAGATGTAGGTTTCAGATAGCGGCTCACCTTGTACCTGGGGGCCAACTTCAACAGTTCTCGTAGGGGGACATCAGACCCGATAACCCCTAAAAGGATCCCCTCTGATCTCTGCATAGGAAAAGCCCGGTCATTAAATGCTACATAATAACAGCTTGTGACAATAGTAACAATGTTACCAGCAAAAGTGACAATAATAATAATGATATCTGTATTAAATAATAATTATTCAGCTTATTACGTTTACTACAAGTTCATTTCAGTTGTTACTCAGCACACACTTTTTAATATGTACAAAAACTAAAGCAGTATTAAACCCAAAAATCGAAAACATCACAGGACCAAATCAGGTGTGGTGGCTGCATTAGTTTTCTATTTTTAGGCTTTTTCACTCTGTTTTTTCCTGGTGATGCAGCCAGTAACACACCTCCTGTATTAAAGCACCTACACTTTGGATGAAAGAGCACAGGGGCCCCTTTGCACAGCAGCATTATAAAGCTATGGGGAGGGGAGTGTAGGACGTACTACCATATTTCCATACACAAATTGAAGCCAAACTCCAGCTCACATTTTTAGGACCAGTTCACACTACATACATTTCAGAGTGCTTTTTTCCTGCATCCAAAATGCACAGAAAGTAGGTTATATGGTTGACAATGTCATAGTTCACATCAGTGCTTTCCAGATGCAGAAAAAAGTAAATCAGGCTTCATTTTTCCTGCACAGAACTGTACTGGAACACGGTAAAAATGCATAAAAAATGCACAAAACCGCATAGAAGTGCACATGTCCCTATTTGGATTGAAGAAAAAGAGGGAAAAAAGGGAAAAAAAAGGAACTGGAATGCATCAGAGGCGCACTGTAATGCATCAAAAGCGCTCTGGAATGCATCAAAAACACACATGCAGAATCACGTCCTACACACATCTGGACTGCTTTTCCTATAGTGTGAACAGGCCCTTAAGCAGTTACAGCAACAATTTTATTCCTTTTGAGATAAAAGTCTTACATTATTAAACAAAAGCTGGTCATTGTAAGCACCACTGTCAGTGTTAAATGGTTTGTCTCATTCCTCTGCTACATTTACGCTTGTTCTTTTGAAATACAACAGACTTACTCAGCAGATCACCAGGTGAAAATAAGGGAATGAAGGCTTAAGAAAGAATCTAATACAGTCACCACAAGAATTGGTAAGCTGCAATATAATAAATGTTTGCCGGTAAGTTTAATACCGCTTTAAGGAATGGATCTTTAGTAATATTTGTTCATATTTACTTACTGGCATATGAAAGTAAAAAACATTCAAAATCTTCTCCATTTTGGTCATGATTGGCAAGCCTCAATGTGTTTTTGCAATCAGTCTTTGCTAAAAGTGTTGCCAATTTTAAGGCACACGCCAAGGCATAATCAAGGCTTTTTACTGCAGCAGAAACATGCAAAGTCTCTTCTGCAATAAATAAACGTGCTTCCATATTCGTAGTCCCCTTTAGAATGTACACTAAGCAATGGATGTGCAGCTCAAGCACCTGTGTACTGGGATGAATGAACCCCTATACATGGCGGCAGATAAACTGTCCACATACACTTGCCGGCCACTTTATTAGGTACACCTTGCTAGTACCGGGTTGGACCCCCTTTTGCCTTCTGAACTGCCTTGATTCTTTGTGGCATAGATTCAACAAGGTGTTGGAAACGTTCCTCAGAGATTTTGGCCCATATTGACATGATAGCGTCACGCAGTTGCTGCAGTTTTGTCGGCTGCACATCCATAATGCGAATATCCCGTTTCACAACGTCCCAAAGGTGCTGTATTGGATTGAGATCTGGTGACTGTGGAGGCCATTGGAGTACAGGGAGCTCATTGTCATGTTCAAGATACCAGTTTGAGATGATCTGAGCTTTGTGACATGGTGCATTATCCTGCTGGAAGGAGCCATCAGAAGATGGGGACACTGTAGTCATAAAGGGATGGACATGGTCAGCAACAATACTCAGGTAGGCCATGGCATTTAAACGATACTCAGTTGGTATTAAGGGGCCCAAAGTGTGCCGAGAAAGTATCCCCCATACCATTACACCACCAGCCTGAACCATTGATACAAGGTAGGATGGATCCATGCTTTCCTGTTGTTCTGACCCTATCATCTGAATGTTGCAGCTAAGATCAGGACTCATCAGACCAGGCAACGTTTTTTCCAATCTTCATTTGTCCAATTTTGGTGAGCCTGTGCCAATTGTAGCCTCTGTTTCCTGTTCTTAACTGACAGGAGTGGCACCTGGTGTGGTCTTCTGCTGCTGTAGCCCATCTGCTTCAAGGTTCAACATATTGTGCATTCAGAGATGGTATTCTGCATACCTTGGTTGTAACAAGTGGTTATTTGAATTACTGTTGCCTTTCTGACATCTCGAACTAGTCTCCCCATTCTCCTCTGACATCAACAAGTTATTTTTGTTCACACAACTGTTGATATCACTTGATATAATTTCTCTTTTTTTGGATCATTCCCTGTATACCCTAGAAATGGTTGAAAATCCCAGTAGATCAGCAGTATTTGAAATATTCAGACCAGCCCATCTGGTACCAACAACCTTGCCACGTTCTAAGTCACTAAAATCCATTTTCTTCCCTCTTCTGACTTCAGCAAGTCATCTTCACCACATCTAGATGCCTAAATGCATTGAGTTGCTGCCATGTGGTTGGCTGATTAGCAATTTGTGTTACCAAACAACTGAACAGGTGTACCTAATAAAGAGGACGATGTGTATATATGGAAAGTAGGGCTGTTCACTGAAACAACCAGATTTTGTTATTCATTTTCCCAGTGCAGGTTAGACAATGACTGGTTTTTAAACTCTTGCTGTAAACTGCATAAATCCATCCCAAAACACTCAAGGTCACATGACCACACAACAACTTACAGTCTCATTCTTCTTGCTGAAAACCGGCATGGCTACTGTGGTCATGAGCAGCAGCAGACTCTGGGCCTGAGAGGCGAAGAGCTGAAAGGAAACAGTGAAACAAAGGCAGCTAATTATGTTTTTGTCAAGCAAAGGATAACAACTTCTGATTGTCTTTCCTTACGGCAGTCACAATGTTTGTTTTGTTCAGTTGCAATGTGACCTTGCTTGAAAATCTGACTACTTCAGGAAGAGTAATTTCCCTCACACAGGCCTATTCCCCCTTGCATGTCACAGTCCGCTCATCTAGGAGTGTCTACTTAGTCTCTGTGCTGGCCCAGCTCCTCCGCCCCTACCCTCACCTCCCTACATAACCCTTTATGCAGCTGTCAGGGAATGAATGAAGTGGAATACTATAGGGCAGGGGCCTCCAAACTATGGCCCTCCAGGTGTTAAGAAACTGCAAGTCCCATGAGGCCTTGCAAGACTCTAACAGACACAGGCAAGACTCCCAGAGGCAGAGGCATGATGGGACTTGTAGTACTTCAACAGCTGGCGGGCCATAGTTTGGAGACCCCTGCTATAGGTTGTCATTTGAGTGACAGTTCTGAGTCTGCTGGGGCTCTTGACATCACTTCAAAGATGACAGCACCCAGAAGCAGTCTCAGGGCTTTTGAATATGTACACAAGGCATGCTTTTACAGGTAAGTAAAAGCATATACCCTGTTAAATACACATACAATATAATGTTATGGGATGATTTTTGCGGTCATGAACAGTCTGGTGACAGGGCCTCTTTAAATAAATTCATCACAAGCCATAAAGTCCACTTTAAGTACACTAAATGTCTTTGCAAATCCATGTATTAGCTTGTAAAAGTAACAGTGCCATCATCACTATGCAAAGAGCAGATCTGTGGGTGGGACCCAGAAGCTCCACCCACTACAGGTTGCCTGCAGAAAACTACAGGAGGGGGGATACGGATACAGGACCAGTCACCCTGCACAAGGAAAGAGAGCAGTAGTGACCGGTCTTTATTACAGGAAGCTCCTTCACAGACACAAAGTACAGGAGTGGTTTAATGCTGAATTACTGCACAGATCTGGAAAAAAATACACAAAAGGACACCAAGATTCAAGTCAGAATACACATGGCTCTTGTATTCAGAAAACATATGTTTCAGCATTAATAAAATATGGGGATATTTAAACAACACAATTCCTGAAATTCATAAAGACTAGAGCAGCCAGATTTAGCAAAAGTATCTCTTATGTGTTCTAAAAGTGATGCAGAATCTGCACAATTCTTGAACTTGTCTGGAACTTGAACTTGAATTCGGCACATGCTGCACCACTTCTAGAGTACACATAAGACACTTCGCAATATCTGTCCGTGTGCTTGTGCTTTCTTTCTTTCTGTATAAAAGAGTTTTTCTTAATTAGCTCCACTTTTGTAGAATACAAACGGTATTTTAGTTTCAGTTTGATGTATTCATTGCGTAAAAATGGAGCATTTTAGAACTAGCTGAATTTGATGCACAAGACATTGTCAGAACGAAAAAGTTTCTCAAATGCTTCATGAATTTGATACAATACATTACCAATAATGAGGGAATAACTCCTGTAAAGTTGTGCACCAGCTTTATTTAATTCCCCTCATATTCTGCATTTTGCACATTCTCTAAAGGCTACTTTCACACTGCTTTGTTGAAAAAAATGCAGCAAAAATGCATGTTTTTTCTACATTTTTGCCACATTGCAGTTTTCCCCCATATCTCAAGACTGGACAAAGCACTTTCCACAGGTGTGGTGCATTTTTTATGCATTTTTCTATTCATTTCAATGGACAGGTGCGTTTTACCTGAGTTTTTTTTTTTCACCTGATCAAATGCACCAAAAATGCAGCAAGCAGGATTTTCAAAAATGCAACTAAAATGCATCAGACCAGTGTGAAGAGTTCCATAGGACTTAAAGGGATGCATTTTTTCTTCTTCTTTTTTTAAGTTGAACAACTAAACAAAAACTGATCAGTGTGAAAGCAGCCAAAGTGTTTTTTTTTCTGTGAGATAACTGACATTTTTTAGTTTTCATTCAGGACCAGATTTATAACTACTCCTCCTTTTCTCTCTTTTTTAGTGTTGGTGGTTGGTATGTGAAAAGGCAGCAGCCGGAGAGTTGCTGGGAGCTCAGTAAATGTTGTTGACATGAACCCACAATAAAACCATTTACCATGCCGTTGCCGAGCAGAGCCTCAAATGACTTTTGTGAGCTCCTGGCAACTATCAAAAGTAGCAATACGACCTTGTTTGTACTGTACCATCCACGCTGACCCATCATGTTCCACTCCTCAATCAGGAATAAACTGTCTATATTGTAGATATATAAAAGTCACTGACATCTGCCACGAAGCAGTGGAAGGGGAAAACACGGGGCATATCTAGGGCATTGTTCCAGAGGAAGCTTGACAATGTTTGACAAAAACAGATAATGCTCTAAATGAGAGGTATCCAGAAAGAAGGGACATGGGAGATAGGGTGTCAAACACAGCATAAAGGAGGGGGCACATGGAGCGGAGCACATGGGAGAAGGTGGTAAGTGGAGCAAAGAAAGAGGAACGGACAAAAGGAGAGGAAGAAAGGAAAGGAGAAGTAGAGAGAGAGAGGAAGAAAGGAAAGGAGAGGTAGGGAGGAAAGGAGGAAAGGAGAGGGTAGAGAGGAGAGGAAGAAAGGAGAGGAGGAGAGGAAGAAAGGAGAGGAGAGGAGAAAAGGAAAGGAAATGGAGAGGAGAGAGGACAGGAGAGGAAAAAGGAGAGGAGAACAAGAAAGGAAAGGAAGAGAAAGAAGGAAAGGAGAGGAGAGGAAGAAAGGAAAGGAGGAAGAATGGGAAGGAGAGGAAGAAGGAAAGGAGAGGAAGAAAGAAGGAGGAGAACAAGAAAGGAGAGGAAGAAAGGAGAGGAGAACAAGAAAGGAAATGAGAGGAGAGCAAGTAAGGAAAGGAGAGGAGAGGAAGAAAGGAGGAGGAGAGGAAGAAAAGGAAAGGAGAGGAAGAATGGGAAGGAGAGGAAGAATGGGAAGGAGAGGAAGAATGGGAAGGAGAGGAAGATATGAGAGGAGAGGAAGAAAGGAGAGGAGAGAGAGGAAGAAAGGAGAGAGAGGAAAGCAAGGAGGAGAGGAGTGGAGTGGGATGAGAGAGGAAAGCAAGGAGGAGAGGAGAGAAGAGAGGAAGCAAGGAGGAGAGGAGAAAAGACAGGAAAGCAAGGAGGAGAGGAGTGGGATGAGAGAGGAAAGCAAGGAGGAGAGGAGAGAAGAGAGGAAAGCAAGGAGGAGAGGAGAAAAAGAGAGGAAAGAGAGGAAAGCAAGGAGGCGAGGAGTGGGATGAGAGAGGAAAGCAAGGAGGAGAGGAGAGAAGAGAGGAAAGCAAGGAGGAGAGGAGAAAAGAGAGGAAAGAGAGGAAAGCAAGGAGGCGAGAGGAAAGCAAGGAGGAGAGAGGAGAGAGAGGAAAGCAAGGAGGAGAGAGGAGAGAGAGAGGAAATCAAGGAGGAGAGGAAAGAGAGGAAAGCAAGGAGGACAGCACGAAGGAGAGAGGAAAAGCAAGGAGGAGAGGAGAGAGGAAAGGGGAGAGGGGAGAGGAAGTGGACAGAAGGAAGTGAGATCAATAACAGTGGAAGAGGAGAGGAGTTCAAAAGGAAGAAAAGTAAAATAAAAGAGAAAGGAGATGAATGGAATATGAGAGGATGCAGAGAAGAAAGGTAAGGGGGAAGAGGGAATGTCAAGAGTGGAAAAGAAGGAGAATGAAAAGAGGAGACAGAGTTGAAGGAGAGGAGAGAGAACACAAGGGGTTGAAGGAAACAAAAACAAATTGATAGAACAGAAGATAGGAGAGAAAAAAGAAGATAAAGCTTCCATTTTGATATTTTTCTTTTCCCTGGAATATCCATTATTTACATGTTGAAACGGTTTCTGTGCAGCAGTGAAAGCTCATAAAATGATACAAACATTGACATACATGTTGAGCAGGCATCATGCAGCAAACATATTGATAAATGATTGATGACGCATTCCTACCACATCACGACATCCGCAAGCAAACATAATTTGCAGTGTCACTGAGAGCATCACGAACACTTTTACAAACATCAAACTACCACCACGGAGATACTGGGCCACAAAACTGAAAACACCGGTTACCTCTTCAGATTGTGGCAGCTGTTTGGACAGACCGATGGAGGAAGGGGGTGAGGATGGATGTGAACCGGGGTGAGAAAATTGGATGAAATATGAATTGAGTCATATGAATATGAAAATGGTAAAGATGCAGACATATAAATGTTAGGAGATGTGTTACACAGCAGAACCATCCCAGGGGGTAAACCCCATAGCATACTCTTTACATAGGAAATGTGAATTAATGAACTACAACTATCAATGGCCAACACGGCCAATGGCTTGTAGTACTTAAGGAACTGTAAGGGTGCTGCGGAGCACTCTTGTAGTTCATTGATTTTTCTTGCCATTCAGTAACTGCCTGCCCATACGGGAGGATCTTGGCATTGCACCCTTGATGTGCTGATCGCGAGTGCAATACTTTTCAGACTGCAGGGAAAAAAAATAAATGCACTTTTTTAACCTGCAAAAGATATATATATACATATATATATATATATATATATATATATATATATATATATATTTTTTTTTATATACGAAAGATTAATTTAGCCTTTAAAGTGTTCATCAAGCCAAGACTTCTTTTCTTAGTTTTGGATGGGGTAGTGAAGATTTAGGACCCTTGCCAGGATTTTACTGCATTCTGGGGATCTTTTAAAGAGATTTACTCACTTCCTTTTTTGCTGACAACGTTTCAAAAGATAAAGAGTGAAGAGAACTCTCCAACAGCAAAACAGAAGTAAAAAACAGTTTAGAAGAATAGGGGGAAGGCTGGGACCCCAGATATTTTTATGTTGTTGTTGCAGATTACAAGAATTGTAATCGCTCTGCATTCATCTAAAATGAAAAGGAACCATTTTGACCTAAAATACACTTTAGGAGAAGGCAGCCTATCTATACATACAGTTAGGTCCATATATATTTGGACACGGGCACAATTTTAGTTTTTTTTCAGGTATTTACCAAAACATGTTCAAGCTATAGTTATATAATGGATATGGGCTGAAAGTGCACACTCTCAGGTTTAATTTGAGGGTATGTACATCCATACTGGAGGAAGGATTTAGGAATTACAGCTCTTAAGAGTAGCCATTCTCCCGTTTTCAAGGGACCAAAAGTAATTGGACAATTGAATCAAAAGCTGTTTCATGGCCAGGTGTGGGCTACTCCTTCGTTATTTCTTCATCATTTAAGCAGGTAAAAGGTCTGGAGTTGATTCTAAGCGTGGTATTTGCATTTGGAATCTATTGCTGTGAATCTATATCAGGCATTCAAAGGAGCTGTCCATGCAAGTGAAACAAGCCATTGTAAGGCTTCAAAAATTAAACAAATCCATCAGAGCAATAGCAGCAAAATTAGGAGTGGCCACATCAACGGTTTGGTACATTCTGAGGAAAGAAGAATGCACTGGTGAGCTCAGCAACATAAAATGACATGGACATCCATGGAAGACAACAGTGGTGGATGATTGCAGGATCCTCTCTATGGTAAAGAAAAACCCATTCACAACATCCAGACAAGTGAAGGACACTCTCCAGGAGGTGGGCGTATCATTGTCAAAGTCTGCAATCAAGAGAAGACTTCACGAGAGCAAATACAGGGGGTTTACCACAAGGTACAAACCATTCATAAGCCTGAAGAATAGAAAAGCCAGATCAGACTTTGCCAATAAACATCTAAAAAAAAAAGCCAGACCAGTTCTGGAAAAGCATTCTTTGGACGGATAAAACTAAGATTAATCTGTACCAAAATGACAGGAATAAAAAATTGGCTTGGAACAGCTCATAATCCAAAGCACACAATGTCATCTGTAAAACATGGTGGATGGCATGGGCATACATGGCTTCCAGTGGCACTAGGTCATTGGTGTTTATTGATGATGTAACAGAAGACAGAAGCAGACGGATTAATTCTGCAGTGTTTAGAGATATACTGTCAGTGCAGATTCATCCAAATGCAGCAAAGTCGATTGGACGGCGCTTCACAGTACAGATGGACAATGATCCAAAACACACTGCAAAAGCAACACAGGAGCTTTTAAAGGAAAAGAATTGGAATGTTCTGCAATGGCCGAGTCAATCACCTGATCTCAACCCAATTGAGCATGCATTTCACTTGCTGAAGGCAAAACTAAAGGCAGAAAGACCCACAAACAAAGAACAAGTGAAGACAGCTGCAGTTAGAGCCTGGCAAAGCATCAGAAAGGAGGGAACCCAGTCTTTGGTAATGTCCATGGGTTCCAGACTTCAGGCAGTCATTGCCAGTAAAGGATTCTCAACAAAATATTAAATAGGAACATTTTATTTATGATTATATTCAATTGTTCAATTACTTTTGGTCCCTTGAAAAAGAGGGAAAGGCTAGTCTTAAGAGCTGTAATTCCTAAACCCTTCCTCCAATTTGGATGTACATACCCTCAAATTAAACCTGAGAGTGTGCACTTTCAGCCCATATCGATTAAACAACTATAGATTGAATATGTTTTGAAAAAAACAAAAATTGTGCCTGTGTCCAAATATATATGGACCTAGCTGTATGTTGCAAACTTGTGATGTCACTAACAGCTACTGGAATAATAAACTGAATTTTGGTTCATCCCAATTAATAACTACTACGTCTGACAGCAAGGTCACCACATTGTACACAATAGATGACCAGTCTTCTTGAGATGAGTAAAGTTGAGAGTTTTTCATTATGCCAAAACTTTAGCAATCTGGATATTTTGTCAAACTTTCATTATTTCAGCAAAGAATATCACAGTTAATAGGAAAAAGGCAAAAAAATTTGTTTTTGTTTGCGTTTTTTGAGTATGCAATGGGCTTTAAGTGGCCCCTAAACGTTATGGATGCCCCCATCAAATTTTTTTCCTATATTTTAAAACTAAAAAAAAAATATAAACTGGCACCATCTAAAATGAAAAAAGAATTTGTAGCAGCAGCTGACACTGACTCGACTTTGGTTTCGCTCTAAGATCATCATATCACTTCTGAAATATTCTTTTCTTTCTCAACCAAATTTTGCCTTAGTGGTACGCATGGGGAAATTTCACTGCAAAATGAATTTCCACTAAATTGCTACTCTCATCCCTTCTTGTGAACATCATGTCTATCCAGCCAGATAGGCTGATAACCATAACCCCAGAAAAGTCAAACTTTATTTTCATTGACGAGTGGCTGCTTCCATCTTATATAAGTCAACAGAAAGGGGTTCACTTAAAGAGGAGCTCCACCCAAAAGGGGAAGTTCCGCTTTAAGGACTGCTCCCCACTCCTCATTAAGGATTGGCACCTTTGAGCGGCGGGGGGGAGCGTGTACCTGAATTTGACAGGTACCCGCTCCCTATTCTGTTCTGATCACCTAGGCGATCAGAAGGTGTCCTCCCTCCCTTCCTGTAGTCTTTTGGGACGCGTGACAGGTCCCAGAAGACTACAGGACCATTCATGAAGCGCAACGCTACTCGTGCATGCGCAGTGGGTACCCGGCTGTGAAGCTGCAAGCTATCACAGCCGGGTGCCCACAATGAAGATGCTGGCCTCCTGGAATACAGGACGGCCGGTGAAACGGACTGCGGGGGACACACCGTGGGACCGCAGAACAGGTAAGTGGCTGTTTTTTTAAAAGTCAACAGCTACAGTTTTTGTAGCTGCTGACTTTTATTTTTTGACAGGGTGAGTGGAACTCCGCTTTAAGTTTCTCCGTGCCCTGGCAAATGCTCTTCTGGCACCAGGAAAAGTTAGGCATACAACAGAAAAGCTAAACTTTCTCAACTTACATAGCTTAGAGTGCAGAAAGGAGGAGACAGTATGGCTGACAGAATGATGAGAGATACAAAACAACTGACAAGGACATGTACAGGTAGTATCACCTTGTCAAAAGTGTTATATCCAGCTGGGATAAATGAAGTGACACAGGCGTTGGGGCCTGTATACCATACAAGGACTACTTTTCCAGAGTCTTTGTAACCTCAAGTTGTTGCTTGCAGGCAGTCCAATGAAGTCTATTTGGATGCAGAGCTTGCACAGACACAGCCACTCAACTAATGTAACAGACCTGCAGGTGCGAGTGAGTGGTCCTGAACGCATACCGTCTGTCCCATTCTAAGTGTCTGTGTCCTTGTAGCCGCTGTGTCCTAACAGACTCCAACAGACTGTCTGCACACAGCACCTGGAGGTTAGACACAGGAAAAATCAGCCTGTTCACAGTATATTGACCTCAGCACCCATGTGAACAAGGCCTAACAATCATATGCAGGTATATGACAGGAGTGATTTGTGAACAAGAACAAGTGTGTTTGCTCAAAGCCTCCGACAATAAGAGATTCTTGGGAAAGGATTTCTCTTTACACTAAAAGGACTTCCAGATTATGAGAAGTCTTCTGTATTTAAAATCTGTATAGCAGAAGCCAATGGTTGAAGCCTAACTTCAACTAAACATTTTTTGAAAAAATGTTGTATACTGTGGAGCAGTGTTTCTCAACCTTTTCTAAGTCAAGGCACCCTTTAAAATTATGGGCAGTCCCGAGGCACCCTTTAAAATTATGGACAATCTTGAGGCACCCCATTCTAAAATGTGAAAAACTATTCTAATAGTTTTATATAATGCAGCAACATCCACACACTTAGAACACCCAACATTAGAGGTGATTTATTCTTCCAAAGTAAATACACTTTTGCAACTGGTACTGACTAGTATTCCAGTGTTTCTCTTATTCCTCAGTTTTCTCCATCACTGAGAAAATGTGACCCCAGCACTGATGGAGAAGGGCAGGAGAGGGTCAAACTAGGGTGCTGTGCATGTCATTGGTTGTCGGGATGCCGGCAGCTAGAAGTTCGTAATGGTGCACAATGAAAACCCGTGGTTTGTGTGACTAAAAGGCAGGCTTGTTCCAACCTCTGGCTCGTACACACGTTTTGGGAAATTTTTAGACATTTTGCCAAGGCACCCCTGAAGAAACCTCAAGGCACCCTGGTTGAGAAAGGCTGCTGTACAGTGTGAAAGTGTTAAAATGTTTGTCAGTGACCCCACTAAGAGAACTTCCCTTCACTTCCCATTCTTGTGACATCAAGAGAAGAATATGTGGGAAGCAGTTGTTCACTGAGACAGCAATAAAAACATTGTAAGAAGTTCCAACCCTTCCCTACTTTACTAAAATGTGTTTTTGTTTTTATCTGAGTCCCCATTTGAGAGATTTCCCCTTGCTTCCCATGAGGATTCAACAGTAACATAGACAAAAAAAAAAATAAACCTTACAGCAGCTGTAACCCTTCCTGATGCTATGATATAAAAAGTTGTAGAGTTTTGTACTTTAACGTGTATGAAAACATATAGATGGCCTATTTCTGCTCAGTGTGTTTTACACTTGTTCCTTGGTTCACTTGTTGGTCACATGGAGTAACTCCACTTTTCCCCATATTTGGATGGCCACTCACCGCGCTGTCCATGTAGGCCTCGGTCCATATAATATCATGGTCGTGGTTTATCACCATAGGCCGACTCAGCACATGGAGATACTCCATCACATTTTTTCCTGGACATCCGCAAGAGTAGAGATTTGAGTGTAATAACCTGTGGGTTGGATGAGGACTAAAATTACAGCATAGAAACAACAATACAGTATAACCAGACACATTATGGTGAGGAGGGCTTCTACTAGAACAGTACAAAGCACAGCAGAGCCGGCAAACAGAAAGCATCTGTCTGAATGCTGTACTTGCAGCAATACTCATGGATTACCAAAGCCAAAAAGTCAGATGAAATCACTGAAAGATATCAAATCAGACCCAAGAAACAACACTTTTGCATTTACAGTAATTTGATTCAAGGGACAATGGCTGTGTGGCTATAATTTTCACCCTTGCCTTTATCCAGTGTATGCAACTATCCTGATAGGTGTGGGTGACAGTATCCTTACTTTTTTTGGCAGCCCTGACTCTGAACGTACAGAAGTGCAACCAGTCTATTTCGTCCTTCAAGTAATGTCCACTCTCTGAACCCACCACAACCTCACCAATGGCATGAACAAGGGACTGGGATTCATAGCACATAATCAGACAGCAAGATGATGCAGTCTAAACTAGAAGCAGTGCAAAAAGCCAGCTAAATCTGTTTGAAGCATATAATTTAATTTTTAGCTGAATGGAAAACTTAGCAAATTTTTTGCCTTAAGTACAGCTTCAACTTTCCCCACACAGCATTAAGAGAAGACAAACTGATTTGGTTGGACATGTTCCATAATTTCTTTTCCTAATTTGGACCACAAAAATACTCCAATCTTTGATGTATTATACAGCTAACATAGTACAACCCTTTTCAATATGTTATATTGCTTCTGGCTCCACTCAAAGTAGAGGTGAAAGCATATCCCTGTATCCCAGAGCATGGAATGCAGGCTTGTCCTGATACCAATTCAGAGGGCTAGTAAATGTAAAGAGGAAAGGATTGCCACTACTCTTGACCGGCCCAGGTAAATAAATGATAAAGAGAGGCCTCAGCCTACATGCCTCCGCCAAACCACACACCCTGATGCATTTAGCCCCACCCACTAGGAGCTTAGTCATAGGGATCCTTATGATTAAGCCCCGGTGGGCGGGAAAAAATGCATCAGGGTGTGTGTTTTGGTGGAGACATGTAGGCTGAGGCTGCTCTTTATCATTTATTCACCTGGTCTGGTCGGGAGTGTGATAATTGTGCGCACAGATATGGACGCGGACAACCATTTTGCTAAGATCCACCATCTTGTATCATACTCTGCAAATATCATTCTCTCTCCCTCCAGCCCCCTCCCCTTGCAAGGAATGTGGTCTGTGTGTCTGCTGAGTTCAGGAGTGCACAGGGCACAGCTGGATACGCTTCATGGTTTTAAACCCAATTAGCTGGTTCCTTGATGTCTGTTAGACCCTTGCCTTGGCCTGGTCGTAAAGCTATAAATCAGTCCATCACTGGACATGAAAAGCATTCCAGAATGGCAGTAAAACATACATCCCACTTGAAACCACTTTTTCATACAATTTCATAAATCTCGACAGGAACAAGGTACAAAAAAAAGCATTTATTCAGATAGGTCAGTTTAATACTAGTCACCTAACACATTACACCCCTATGTGGCACGTACACGAGAGTAGAAAGCAATATGTCATTATCTGGAATGGTAAGATATGTCATATTTGATGTCTGGACGTTCAGGATATCATTCTGCATATTACTCTACCAGTGGCTAGGCTGCTACATGTACCTAGTGAAGGTTATTGGCTATGGTATAAACGTGCAAGGGATTTGGTCATAACCTGAGTCTCCGCCTAAACACCCTTCCCCAAATGAGGCGATCAGTTCTCTGCTTTAAAGAGAAAACCCTGCTGGATTCCTAGAAAAAGGCTGTCATGCCTGGAGAGGAAGATGAAGAGATTCTCCCTTTTAACATCAGGAACCATATTTGGGAGAAAAGGCAACCCTTTTGTTCAGGACACTTGAACTCTGCTTAAACCAAGGACTTCTGCAGGTATCCTACCTTCTTAAACTTCTTTCTGTTATCTCTCTGTTGTGTTATTGCTCTCTCTATTTCTATATATATATATATTTGTTACATCTTTTCTGTAAATATTTTTATTGCACCATTTTGACCTTTTTAGTAATAAGTCCTATTTTTACGCAAGTGGCAGCGCGGTTTTAGATTGGCTAGTCCTTTGGTCACAAGTTGGTGAGAAGGGCTGGGGTCTGACGCCGTGCCCGTCACAGGGAGTAGTGGCAATCCTTTCCTCTTTACAATTACTAGCTCTTTACCATTTAATCACCTGGTCTGGTCAGGAGTAGCGGCGTTCCTTTCCTCTTTAGATAATACAACCCCTTCTTTATAACACCATTAAAGCTAATTTAAAGTCAATGAAAACTCTACCCCTTACAAGCTACAACTGTTCCGCTTTCCTAAATTCACAAACGGTAAGAGAAGGATATATATATATTCACTATTGGCTGCAGAATGGCAGAACCACTGCTCTGGGATTGCACTGCAGCTGGTCACATGAGCAAATGCTGAACTGGTTATCACCAGATCTGAGCTGAAGAACAGGATAAAAAAATCAGGTAGCGCTACTGATCCTCCATTCCATCAGAGATTATGTCATTGATGCCCCAGCGTTTGGTCAAGTGACCAGCTTCCTTGGTTTCCTAAAGCTGCAGCTTCTACAGCTGAGGAATTTGATGAAGTCTGTTTTCTGACTTTACCTTAGCAAGGTAAATAAGGAAAGGGGGGAGGGGAGTCGTTTTTGACTTTATGTTCATTTTGGTGAGCACAAAAAAATTGCTAAAGTCTCATACCTTTGTTGCTACATGCAATCCATTTCACATTCTCTGCAAATGTTACTTCTCTCCCAATGAGGTATGTGAACATTCTGACCTGAAACATACAAGTTATTATAACTAATGGCTAAAACTATGAAGCAATAGAGGTAGAGGCTTTAAAAACAGAAATCAATGTCAAATGTTACTGAACAATGTATTCCTAGTTTTGGGTACTGCAATGGGCTCTACCAACATCCCAGGTTATGAAAGTTTCACTCTGCCAAACAATGAATTTAAATGGGAACAATGCCAATGTCAATGCACTGGCTCTTGTCAAGAAATTTATTAAGGCAATCTCTTGCATTGCATCAGTCATTACGTAGGTAGTACAATAAATGGATAGGAAATATTTAATGCAGAACCTCACGTAAAAGTGTTTTTTTTTTCTGGAATCGGGTACCTTTTTCGGATGGGTACCCACTCCACTTTCCCATTTCTCACCTTGGCAAGAATTGCCCACCCCCCTTCCTTCCCACAAACTCCTGGGAAACCTCACATGCTGCAGGAGGAGCCTGCAAGCGCAGCGTGTCTCACACATGCACAATAGGGAGCTGGTTGTGAACCATGAAGTCACAGATGGCTTCCCACAATAAAGATGGTAGGGCCTATGGCTTAAAGCAGTATTAAATCCAAAAGAAAACATTCATTATATTGCAGCTTACCAATTCTTAGATGTGATGCCTTTATTAGTTTCCTTTTTAAAGCTTTCTTTCTTCTATTTTCATCTGGTGATTCAGCAAGCAACTCTGATGTTTTTCAGAAGTCCAAGTTCTCCAGCAGAATGTATCAGTTTACATGGATGAGACATTCACTGACAGGGTGACTAAAATGATCATCTTTTATTTACTCATTCATGTAAAACCTTTATCCCAAAAGGTAAAAAAAAAATTTGCTGAAACTGATTATAAAGTGTTTGTTAGAGTTTGGCTTCAATTTGTTATCGTATTTAAAGTGTTGTTTCACTAATACAAGAGTTTTGTTACTGGCCAGATCACCAGGAAAACAGGAAAAAAAGCCAAAGAAGAGAGAAAACAGGTGCAGCCACCACGTCTAATGATTGATAAGCTGCAATATAATACATTTTTGGTTTTGGAATTTAATTCCACATTAAGTGTCTGTTTATTAAATGTCAGCAACTACAGTATTTGTAGCTGATGACTTATTTTTTTTTTATAAATGAACAAAGTTCATCTTTAATATTGGTACTTACTCTCTTTTCAGGCCAGTTGTATTTTTCAAAGACAGGCTCATAATCTTCCACGGCTCCATCTGTTATAAGCATGATTGCCTGATTACACAGACCCCCCTGACCAGCTTCTCGGAACTGAAAATGCATACATGCCATAAAGTCAAAGCAAGTAAAAAAGAGACTAAAATCTGTTGATAATAATATATATATGAAACCTTGAACATGAAGATTTCCTTCTTTTGGAAGGGCTGGGATGGAAGATGCAATCATTTAATGTCCACCTAAGCATGTACATGTGGCTCCAACAATCACAGCCAATGCGTAAACTGCACATAGTCCAATTTGAGCATCATTGTGGATGGCCAAATCGACTGCTAAAGTTATTTGCAGTCTTTTTTCCTAAACTGTAAACTTATATCTCTTGCTAGGTTTATTGAACAATTACTGAAATGCAAGTCAACATCATTAATCTCAGACTTATAGACAAAAAAATATTTTTACCCAAAGCAGTGTGCTTAGCAAAGTCCTGCTTACTGCTTTGTTCCTATTTTCAACTGGAAAACATGTAATGAAAATCATGAACTGATTTAATTGACAAAGGATTTCTACAACTCCATCTCCAAGAAAAGTTGGATCTACATAAAAACAGAATGTAATTATTTGCAAACTGAGTAAATGTACCATTTTAAGAAAAGTTAATTTTGAAATAGATGGCAGCAGCACTTCTCAAAAAAGTTGGGACATGACAACAAAAAGCTGACAAAGTAAGTGGTACTAACAAGGATGAGGTAAAAGAACATTTTGCAAATAATTAGGTTGATTGGCGACAGGTCAGTAACATGACTGGGTTTAAAAATGCATCTTAGAGAGTCAGAGTGTCTCAGAAGTAAAAATGGTTCAACAATCTGAAAAGCTGCATCTAAAAATTGTTGAACAATTTCAGAATAACGTTCAACGTAAAATTGGAAAGATTTTAAAAATATCATCATCTACAATACATGATATCATCAAAAGATTCTGACAAACTGGAGAATTCTGTGCACAAGGGACAAGGCCGAAACGCAACATTGAATGCAGACGACAGAGGGCAGATGGCACTGCATTAAAAGCATGCATGATTCTGTGATGGACATCACTGCATAGGCTCATGAATACTTCCAAAATTCACTTTCTGTGAACACAGTTCCCCATGCCAACCAAAGATGCAAGGTAAAGTTCTATCATGCAAAGAAGCCATATCTGAACATGATCCAGAAACATTGCTGTCTTCTGGTAAAACCTCATTTAAAAAGGTCTGCAAAGTGGAAAACTGTTCTGTGGTCAGAGGAATTAAGAGTTGACATTATTTTTGGCAACCATGGGTGCCGCATCCTACGGACTAAAGAGGAGAGGGAGCTTCTGGAATGTTATCAGCGCTCAGTTCAAAAGCCTGCATCTCTGATGGTATGGGGGTGCATTAGTGTGTATGGAATGGGCAGCCTTCGAATCTGGAAAGGCAGCATCAATGCTGAATGATATATCCAGGTTTTAGACCAGCATGCTCCCACCCAGACGATGTCTTTTTCAGGGAAGGCCTTCAGGAGGACAATGCTAAACCACATACTGCATCTATGATAACAGCATGGCTTTGAAGTAGAAGAGTCCAGGTGCTTAACTGGCTTGACTGCAGTCCAGACATTTCACAAAATTAAAAATATTTGGTGCATCTTGAAATGAAAAATATGACAGAGAAGACGAGCCATAACTGTTGAGCAGTTAGAATCCTATATCAGGCAAGAATGGGACAACATTCCACTCCCAAAACTCCAGCAACTGGTCTCTCAGTTCCCAGATGTTTATGGAGTGTTGATAAAAGAAGACAGGATGCTACACCATTGTAACATGGCCTTGTCCCAAATTTTTTGATTCATGTTGCTGCCATCAATTTCACAATTACCTTATTTTTGTCATTTTGGACACTTTCTCAGTTTAAACATGTGTTGTGTTTTCTATTGTGAATAAAATATGGGTTTATGAGATTTGCAAATCATTGCATTCTGTTTTAGGTGGATTTTGTACAGCTTTCTAACTTTTTTGGAATTGGAGTTGTAATTATTTTTAGCCAGCCACATGACCCTGGCCAGACACAGCATAGCTAGATCATTAATTTTATGTTTCTCCTCTGCATTTCACTAATTTCCCCTCATGGCCACAAATTGCCCACCACCTACTCCTAGCTTGTTGGTTGGACAACAAAGCATCACCAGAATGAAGAAGCCATATCTCTGCCCATTATAATCTCTCTTCCTTTCACCAAGCTCCCAGTGTTAGCTTGATGGCGCTGTGCGATTTTGTCATGTCTGACTGGCCTACACTGCTAACCCTCCCAGTTCTGGTGCAAATCCAGACTAGCCAGGGGACTGCAGGGAACTATCAATGCAGATTAAGGTTAAATTAGTTGCATTCATTTTTTTTTTATTAATATTTGATGAAACAGTGATCTATTATTTCTGCCTGAAGTTTGACTCTAGTGATACATTAAAACGCATGTTGACAAATGGAAAATGAGCTGTCAGGCAACTTATGAAGCCAATTTTACCTTACCTCTTTCAGGATTTTAAATGCTTCAATGAGAGCTTTGTTGACAGTGCCAACTCCTTTCGCTTGCAGCTCATCCACCAACTGCTTGAAATGCTGGAAAGAAGGACAGAGATTAACCTGGTTCACAACATAAGAATATTAAATATTCAGTAACAGTGCATGGGTGATATTTTCTGCATTTTGCTGAAATTTCAGAGAAAAAAGCGAGCTTTCAAGTTTGTTCATACCAAGTTAGCACAGTTTATTAGTAATCATAGGCAGCTCACTAGGTGTTCAGGGGTCCCAGCCTGTGATTTAGTTAGTTTACACTTATTCTGCCCTTTGAATGACAATCCACGTTGCATCACTCTTCAGAGGGCTTTTAACAGGCGGCAAGGAGACACTACATTAACTTTACACTAATGCACCATAAATGGTTGCAAGGCACCCCCCCCTTTCAGTTTAACAGGTCACGTTTGGCAGGTGATAGTGCCCGCTGAATACAACAGTGGCGATATCCCTGTGGCACATGTACAACCCCTTCACTGTCTTGGCAACTTCAGAGGAAGCAGTTGGGGGATTGTAAAAAAGCATCTTCACTGCACATTTTTACTGCCCCCCTCAAAAGTGTAAACTATGCATTGCATATTGTAAGTTTATAACCATCTGAGAGAATATGTCAGCCATTCTGCAATTATTAATTTATTGTGTCATCACCGATCCAAAACTGCACAGCTATTTGGCAAACAACTCTTCATTATTGGGATTCAAGTGTATGAAGTGATAAAAAAAAAAGAGAACACCCTTTGATCTGCTAGAAAACCAGTGAGCTACTAAATACGTATTTGGGCTGACAACGCAATGCCTATGAGTCAGTGAAATCCCAAGCAGTGTTGTCAGCCCTGTCTGCAGGCCTACAAATCTTTGCAGATCTATACCCCCTCTCTGTTCCTCTCCCTTCCCATCTTCACCCTTCTCTGTCCCTCTTCACATGCTTACATTAAAGTGTGAGATGGTGTATAGGAAAGGTCTACTAGAAAATGTAGTTTTGGGGGTATACCTACGCCAATAGAAACTGAGCTCTCAGCAACTGCCCCTGCAAAAATAACGATGGAACATGATCTAGAGGTTGAGAGGAAGATTTGGGCGTAAACTGGGTTAATGCTAACAAATACCTTTAATATGCTATAAAACCATCACCCCTCTAAATGCAAAGCACATTAGTACAACAGCCAGAGAATATTCCCGCTGCAATTTCTCAGCATCTTGGAAAGGAGTAGGACAGTTCTAGATGATATGGAATATAAAGGACATCCTCCCGTAGCTGAAATTTGTGCTGCAGCCAGGAGATGAAGCCCCCATAGCAACAGGCAGAAAATAACTCCAGCGACAGTTTCAGATCTTCCTGGCTGCTACTTCCTGACTCAAATCACAATCTATGTCTATGCCAAGTACAGCAGATCAGAACTCCATCTACAGCACTAGGCTCTACGCTGGGAGCACTGTCTGTATGGAGTATGCAAGCTTTCCCCGTCTTTGTGTGGGATTTCTCCAGGTGTTCCAGTTTCCTCCCACAATCCAAATATACACTGGTGGCTTAAAGGAAACCAGTGTTGAGAAAAACACAAATCTGCCGTCACTAACCTCCTTCTGAAAGTGGAAACTGCCTGGCTATTATTCTTAACCTTTGGCTTCAATAGTTTCTGAGTATGTGCCACGCAACCGGTATATGAAACTGGTCCGTGAGTATGTGTGACTGCGGATGAGAGTGTGAGCTCCTCTGCAGCACAGTGCGGTGTGACTGGATCAGTGTTCTTTGTACAGCACCGTAGAGTTTGTCACAGCTTTATAAAAGGTATAATAATAAAAGCGTGTGCCTGTGGTGGGGACATTACAGTGTAAGCCACTCTTCTGCAAAATCTGATGTGAATGGTTCCGTGTTGCTTGTATACTACTACAGAACATGTCAACGCTAAACGTACAAACAGTAGTGTTTGACCGTAGTGGGCACATTAGGGTGTAAGCTCCTCTGGTGCAGAGACTGATGTGAAAAGCCTCTGTACAGCACTGCAGAATATGTCGGATATACAGTTGTGTTCAAAATAATAGCAGTCAGACATCACTAACCTGATCAATCACTGTTTTTGGTAGAAATTATATTTCTACATGGCAAATCATTTACTAGCAGGTGTAGTAGAGTAATAGAAATCCAACATACCCAACAGTCATGACATGCATGCTGCTGATTCTGTGTAATTGAATCACTAATTGAAAGGGGCATGTTCAAAATAATAGCAGTGCGGAGTTCTATTAGTGAGGTCATTCATTCTTTGAGAAACAGGTGGCAATTATTGCCCTTATTTAAGGAAGGAAGGCAGCAAATGTTGTATATGCTGGTTACAGTGCATTTCTCTCTGAAATTCTGAGGAAAATGGGTCGTTCCAGACATTGTTCAGAAGAACAGCGTACCTTGATTAAAAAGTTGATTGGAGAGGGGAAAACATATAAAGAAGTGCAGAAAATGATAGGCTGTTCAGCTAAAATGATCGCAAATGCTTTAAAATGGCAACCAAAACCTGAAAGACGTGGAAGAAAGCGAAAAACTACCATTCGAATGGATAGAAGAATAGCCAAAATGGCAAGGACTCAGCCAACAATCAGCTCCAGGAAGATCAAAGGTCTAAAGTTCCCTGTGAGTACTGTTACAATTAGAAGACGCCTATGTGAAGCCAAGCTATCTGCAAGAAGCCCCCGCAAAGTCCCAATGTTGAAAAAAAGACGTGCTGAAGAGCTTACAATTTGCCAAACAGCACATTGACTGGCCTAAAGAGAAATGGCGCAACATTTTGTGGACGGATGAAAGTAAGATTGTTCTTTTTGGGTCTAGTGGCCGGAGACAGTTTGTCAGATGACCCCCAAACACTGAATTCAAGCCACAGTACACTGTGAAGACAGTGAAGCATGGTTGCGCAAGCATCATGATATGGAGATGTTTCTCATACTACGGTGTTGGGCCTATTTATCGCATACCAGGGATCATGGATCAGTTTGAATACATCAGAATACTTGAAGAGGTCATGCTGCCTTATGCTGAAGAGGAAATGCCCTTGAAATGGGTGTTCCAACAAGACAATGACCCAAACACACCAGTAAACCTGCAACATCTTGGTTCCAGACCAACAAGATTGACGTTATGGAGTGGCCAGCCCAATCCCCGGATCTTAATCCAATAGAAAACTTGTGGGGTGACATCAAAAATGCAGCTTCTGAGGCAAAACCAAGAAATAGAGAAGAACTGTGGAATGTAGTCCAATCATCCTGGGCTGGAATACCTGTTCACAGGTGCCAGAAGTTGGTTGACTCCATGCAACACAGATGTACAGCAGTGCTCAGAAACAGTGCTTATACAACTAAATATTAATTGATTCAAAGGGAAGCAAAATCTTCAAACATTTTTCAGTTTATATAGTGAATGTTTGAGTTTGTAAAGAAGAATACAAACACTGCTATTTTTTTCAACAGTCTAATATTCACTTTTCTTCAATTTTTTTGAACAACACAAATTTGATAAATTGTTCTTCATGTTTTGATTTGGTATAGAATGTGTAGTGTTCCCAATGCATTTGTGTGTATGGAAATAAAAGCTATTAGAAGGATTTTGAGCTTTATTCACTTATTTCAACACACTGCTATTATTTTGAACACAACTGTATATATAGTTACATAGTTAGTCTGGCTGAAAAAAACAAAAGTCCATCCAGTTCAACCATAGAAAAAAAAATTATAATCCTATACCCACAGTTCATCCAGAGGAAGGCAAAAAAAATATTGTATAATAATAATAGTGAGTGACTGCAGTGGGAGTGTAAGCTCCTCTGGTGGAGAGACTGATGTAATTGGCTCAGAAGCATATTAATTATACTCATAATAACACAGGCAGGATGATCAGTACATAACTTACCTCTCTATTATCTCTGTCAGCCTGAACTAAGATCCCCTTAAAACAGGGCTCAATATAATGGACGTAATCATTGTACTGGAAAACAGAACCAAAGAAAAAAATCAATTACATGGGACTAGAAATCAGAAAATGCTGCTTCTTTATTCATTGTAAATATATACTATAACAAATATTTTTTTCACTTCTACATTTAAAGATCAACTTTATTCAAAAATAAATATTTTTTTTAAAGCCTGCAGCCTCTATACCACTGCCCCGTCTCCTGCCAACTCTATGGGTTACTAGTGGATGTTTACATACAGCCACCACCCACTCTGTACTCCTTCCATCCTGTAACACCACCAAAGTACCTCCCCTTACCACCCCGACTTAAGCTAAGCAGGCACTCCCACATCAAGCCTAATTTCAGTATCAGCTGATGTGTGAAGGGTCTTGCAGGTAATAAATACCGAGTCGGCCACTGATGTCTTTCATCTGAAAATGCAAGTTGAACGTTTCTTGTTTCAGTATTTAGAGATACTGAATAAAATAAACATGAAGTTCTGGAAAATCAGAATGAAGTCAGAACTTTTAATTCACAGTCATGGCCAAAAATATTTGCAACCCTGTATTTTTGTCAGATAATTCACAAATTTGCCGAGAAAATTGTTGCAATTACAAATGTTTAGGCATTCCCATGCTTATTTCTTTTTTTTGTATTGGTATGACACAAAAAGCGGAGAAACAGAAAGCCAAATCTGACACATTCCACTCAAAACCCCCAAAAATTGAACTAAACAAAATTATTGGCACCCTCAATTTAAAGGCAAATTTGTCTTTATTACATTTTGCTTTAAATTTTACAGAATAAAAACGAAAGGAATAATGATAACATGTACAGACAAGTAAATATACAGAAATTGCAAATGTGGAGATGATCCACGAGAATAAGTGCAAATAGTTCCATACAACAAAAAGATGAAAAGACCAACAGCATTTGTTATTTGTTATGGAGGTATACAAAAAAAACCTAGTTTCAAGGGGGCTATCCCTGGGTGAGACTTGGGGAGCAAAAATAAATACCTCCGTATAACTCAGTGTATAAACCCAATTAGGAAAAAAGATAAAGGAGTAAAGAAAGAAAAGAGAGAAGCCAGTTGTAGAGACAATAATGGACAGGAAGGGTGAGGGTCAGGAGGCGGGGACAGCAAGGATCAGAGTCATAGTGTCCACCACCAGGACCCCATTGGTGCGATCCAGTGGCCCCAAGCCACGCGTGGGCGACAAGGTCAAACTGGAGGTCGTTGCAAAATGAATTGGGTAGACGAGGCTCAACTCTATTGGGACACAACAGGGGAGCACAATTCCCGGAGAGTCGAAGAGGAGGAGAAATGGAGCCAGACCAACCACAGTAACTTGTGTTTATCGTACGTATCATTGGCAAATGCCAACATTTCCTCCATACGCAAGATATCATTAAGTGCAGAAACCCACATCGGAAGAGGTGGGGGCGTAGTCGTTTTCCAAAAGAGAGATATCATTTGGCAAGCTGCAGATAAAAACAAATGTGACAAACTTTTATTTTGTGCTGCCAGTGGGCCTGGTAATATGGAAAGGAGAGCAATATCCGGTGAAGAGGCCAAGGACTCACCATAGATCCTGTTATATACATCAAAAACTTGACACAGGAAGGGTTGTATCAAGTCACAATCCCACCAAATGTGGAGCTGTGTACCGTAAGCTTCAGTATAGCGCCAGCAGAGATCGGATGTAGAAGGAAATATTTTGTGTACGGAGACGGGGTCCCTATACCATCGAGAAAGGAACTTAAAGTTCTTTTCACGTGAATAACTGGAAATAGACGATTTATGAGTGAAATGGAACAACGTAGACCAGTCCTCAGCCTAAATGTCTCTACCTAGGTCTCGAGCCCACGCCCTAGTAAAGGGGGGCAGTTAGGAATGAAGAGCATTGTGCAGTACTTTGTAGAGGGAAGCCAAGACATGTCTCCTGGTTCTGAGTGGGAACACAATCTGTCAAACTCATAGTGTGAACGATGAATGTGAGAGGTAGAATATAAGTGTTTGCAGAATGAGGATAATTGTAAAGTGGTCAACCAGTCCCTAGGACTTCCCTGAAGAAACGGAAGACCCATCTGGGGGCAAACAAAGTCGGGCCATGAGGTGCGCAAAAAGGGACCGATAGCAGAGGATTCCATCTCTTGTGGAAGAGCGGGGTTATCAACTAAGGATGATAGCTGTGAGGGATCAGAAGATAAAAGTGTAAGGACACCTCATTTATACCAAAGCCACAGTCAATGGGGGCAGGCATGACATCAAGGGCGTGACGGTGCGGCGACTGGAAGTGACTTGGACCGGACACGGAAATGGCACGACAGTGTTAGTTACCAACAATCCGGAGGTGGTGAGAGCACCTACGGTCTATGACCACTTCAGGCTTATCTATGGTCAAATCATTGGGCTTTTTTACACTCGTTTGCTTGTAAGTAATGTCCATTCATTAAATTAAAGGATCTTGCTTTTATACTATACCATTGGAGCATTTATCTGTGTTTGTGTTTTACATGATATATCTCGAGGCAGTGGAGTTCCATACTTATACAATTTATAATCATCGTTTATAATTGGGAAGATTATCCCAGGAAGCCTGTTTGCCAACCACAAGAGTGGAAGGCAATTATCTCTGGTGAGTGTACATCCATGTGGGGGATTTTTGTGCAGCACTCGGTTATCAGTAAACAGCAAGTGGTGAATTTAAAGGAAAATAAATCATTTTTATGGACTTTGGATCACTACATTATAATTTTTATGGACTTTGGATAACTACATTATATTTTATATTATTTTGTGTGCATATTAATCACGGATGCTAAATTTGTTTGACTGTTCACATTCATTTTGTGGTATTCACTATATCACTTTACTATTAATTTAGCGCCACTATAACACCATATATATTATGTGTTGTGTGTTTCATTCATTTATTTATTTATTACAGAGATCGGTACAGTCTGGAAAACATACAGTAACTTAGGCAAGGTATCCACCTTAAGGGTATTAATGAGTCCGAACCAGGGCAAAGCACAAGCGCCCCACAAAGCCAAATCTTTACGTAACCGTGAAATCAGGGATAAATAATTAAGGGAATATAGAGCATTAAGATCTGAGGAATCAAGACCCAAAGATACGCAATGGCCTTTGGTCGCCATTGAAAAGAGAAATTAGAGCATAGATTCGTCAGCACATGGTCAGGTAAAGAGATATTCAAAGCCTCCGTTTTAGAGATATTAAGTTTAAAGATACTGAATGAACCAAATCTGTGAAACTCGTGGAATAGACTAGGGAGTGAGATAAGTGGCTGTTGTATATAAACCAGAAGGTCATCTGCCTATAGAGAAAGTTTGTGGTGTGAGTAGGGAGTGCGGACACCCAAGATCGAGTTGTTAGCTTGTATGGCGTTTGCGAGATGTTCTATAACCAAAACAAAAAGAAGGGGAGAGAGGGGGCAACCCTGTCTGGTCCCATTAGATATGGGGAAGGACGAGAAACCATTCCATTCACCAGGAGAGACGCCGAAGGATGAGAATAGAGGGACATAATCTTAGCGAGGAACTGCGAACCCAGACCTATCTGCTCTAGGGTAAGGCACAGAAAGTGCCAATCAACACCTTCTCAGCATCAAATGAAAGGAGGCAAGCCTTTAAGCTGTGTTGCTTGATATAAGAGATAAGATGGATTGCTTTAGAAGTATTATCCCTAGCTTCTCGACCAGGACAAAGCCGACTTGATCATGGTGGATCAAAGTTGGTAAAAAGGGTGAGAGGCGGTTCGCTAGGAGTTTCACAAAAAGCTTAACATCTAGGTTAAGTAGGGAGAGTGGGCGATAGCTACCGCAAAGAGGGGGTCCTTACCTGGCTTAGGGATGGCCGAAATATTGGCGGACAAAAAATCTGGAGAGAGTACGTTAGAGTCGTCAATAACATGAAAAGCTAGGGCTTAAAGCGGGGCCAGTTGGATGGCGAATGTTTTATAAAATCTGTAGTAAACCCATCTGGGCCCGGACACTTACCAGTTTTAAGGGCCTTAATTGCCCCGAGAACTTCTGTAATTGAAAAGGGCTCCTCTAAATCCAGAGCGTCCTGGACATCCAGGACCAGTAACGCCATCTCGGTAACATATTGGGATATATGAATCATGAGGAGCAGTGGAATTCACTGAGGACAAATTATAAAGTTGAGGATAATAGTGTTCAAACGTGGAAGAGATTCCTTTGTTGTGGTAAAGTTTGGCATTGTCAGGCGCTTTAACATGTTTGATCGGACATCTGGATGGTCGAGGATGAAGTACACGAGCCAGGTGTAGGCTGCATTTGTAAGACAAGGAGTAATCAGTGTTGCGTGCTTTGTCTCGTGCAACAAGGGATGAGAAATCTAAGAGTTGGAGTAATTCCCTCCGGGCGTTAGATAGGTTCACTGTGAGCATCAGGTCCAGTGTGCGCTTGTGGGAGGATTCTAAATGTGCGATGAGTGATAATAGCCTACACATCTCTGCCATCTGAGCCTTTTTAAACGAGAGCCATGTTTAATAAGAACCCCTCTAAGAACACATTTAAGGGTCTCCCATTGAGTAAAGGGGACTGTAGTGTCCAGTGAGTGATCAAGAGCAAAGTCTTGGATAGTCTTTGTGACCTCCGCAACACATAAGGAGTCTTTAAACAGGGTATCATTCAAACACTCATTCAAAGTGACAGGAAGACGTTGCTTGGTCGCGAATCGTAAGATGGATTGGGGCGTGGTCTGAACATAAGAAAGGACCAAGAGAGGATGAGATCGGGTAATCAAGGAAGGACTGAGAGACAAAAAAAATCTATACGGCTATAAGATGCATGGGCTGCAGAATATAAACTACAATCGTGCTCTAAGGTGTGTTGGACACGCCAAACGTCCACTAAGTGCAATTCATGTAAACGTGATTTAATTTGAGTTAAGACTGATGGGGAGAGAGAAGATTTGCCTGCAGAAGTGTCCAGGCCAGGAGAAAGAGCTATATTGAAATCCTCCCCAACAATGAAACAAGGACCCCCAAAAGCAGACAGCTCGGAAAGAACCGCTGCGAAAAACGGACCCTGATCCTGATTAGGAGCGTAAACGTTTGCCACTGTAAAGACAAAATCTTGATATTTCAATTTAAGGAAAAGGTAGCGACCAGCTGAATCAACTAGGGAGTCCAGGACCTCCAAGCCGAAGGTATGATGAAAGGCCACCGACACCCCCCTAGACCTGGCCTGTGGGTTAGTACCATGATACCACTGAGTATAGAATGATTGCGGAGGACTGGGATACCATCTTAGTGGAAATGAGTCTCCTGTAGGAGCAGAATCTGTGCTCTCTGTTTGTGAAAATGGTAGAGCATCTGGCTTTGCTTCTCTGGAGTATTAAAGCCCCTGCAGTTAACAGAGAAAAATTAATCGGGGTCATGTTCATCTGAGGTAAAACAAGATAGAAAAATTGTGTGTCGCGAACAGTGCTTCGCCGAGCCGCTCCCGACTCCCAAGGAAAAAATAAAAAAGAATAATAAGAGGGAGAAAGAAAAGGAGATTAAAGAAGGCACTAGCGGAAAATAGATATAAAGCTGAGAGAGGAAGATCAGGAGAAGGAGAAAAGTAAGAAGAAGAGACTAATAGACAGGCAAACTTTCTAAATAACATACAGTGTTTCAAGACACAGTACACTGAAGGCCTAGGTGGGGAACATCAGAGGCGCATGTATCCGGTCCCAACCAAGGCCTCCCGCAAGGAAATATTAACCATGAGGGAACTGACTCCCATATAAGAGTGATCCCCCCCCTACAAAATGTATTTGGTAAACCCTCTAACAGGCATGAAAAGATAAACCATCTCCCCCGTTAAGTAAGCATAACCCAGTAATAAAGGGGAGGTATCCCCCGCATAAAAGAAAAAGGCATGAATAGGCAGATAGGGAGGAGGCCCAAAGCCCTTGAGCCTATGGTCGATGGTGTCCCCGGACGCCCCAGGAAGTGTCAGTGGCAAAACCAGGAACCAACCTAGAGCCACAGTCCCAGTGCATAAAAGGAGACAGGCACAAATCTAATTCACAAATCAAACGAGAATAACAAACAGTGTGCATGCGATAAAATTAAAATTAAGAGGCCCAGTGTGCAATGTACGTGGTCCAATTCAATATAGGTATCTTTAGGTTGCTGCAGTAGTTGATTAAATATGGCGGTAACCGCTGCGACTAAGTCCTTAGGTTCAATGGATTCTGGTACGCCATGGATCTGAATATTATTACAGAGGTTCCTGTTCTCCATGTCATCTTGTTGGTACATGAGTTGTTGTATTAAGACCGTATGGGAGTTAAGGGTCTCTTCAAGAATTGTTGCATAAGCCGTCAGCGGTATTTTCAATCTCCTCCATACGCACACAAATATCTTTCTTAAGATCAGAAATTTCTTGTTTGTACGTATTTTTAATACGTTTCAAATAAAGTTAAAAATCCACCTTTGTAGGTAAAGATTTAATCTAAGAGTGCAGAGACCGCATGTGGGACTGCAGATCCCAGCCATCCTCAGAGCAGAGGGATGCTGGAGAAGAGCTATGTGATCTCTGTGAGCTAATGATAGGGTCCCCAGGTGGAGAGTGTGCGCCCGAGGGCTTACCTGACCAGCAGCAGGTGGTTCTCTGTCCAGGGGAGCCGAGGAGGGAAGAGAGGCCGGCGCCATCTTGTTGGCTGGGGCGCCTGAGGCCTCAGCCGAGGATCGGGTGATAAACCAGCTCATATCATCACCAGATCGCCCTCCCCACTGTTCTCCTGGGAGTCCAGTGCTGATTTTTGCCCATGTGAGGGGCAGCAGGCTGCTTGGGAGAGGAAGAAATCGCCTAAGGAGGTCCAGGCTGGGAGCTATGCAGGAACGCTGCCTACTGTTCCATGCGCCAAGCCACGCCCCCCTGGCACCCTCAGTTTAACATTTGGTAGCACACCCCTTGGATAAAATAACTGAAATCAATCACTTCCTGTAACCATCAATTAGTTTCTTACATTTCTCTACTGGAATTTTGGACCACTCTTCTTTCGCCAACTGCTCCAGGTCTCTTAGATTGGAAGGGTTCCTTTACCCAACTGCTGTTTTGGGATCTCTCCACAGGTTCTCTATGGGATTGAGATCTGGGCTCATTGCTAGCCAGTTCAGTACTTTCCAGCGCTTTGTTTGAAACCATTTCTGGGTGCTTTTTGACGTGTGCTTTGAGTCATTTTCCTGTTGTAAGACCCTATCTGATACTGGGCCCTACATTGCATCCCAGAATGTTTTGATAGTCTTCAGATTTCATAAAGCCATGCATAAGGTCAAGACATCCAGTGCCTGAAGCAGCAAAACAACCCCAAAATATCAGTGAACCTCCACATGTTTGACTGTAGTGACTGTATTCTTTTCTTTTAAGGCCTCAATTCTTTAGAATGTAGAATGATGGGCTTTACCAAAAAGCTGTAATTTTGTTTTGTCCGTCTACAGCACATTCCACAAAAGGATTTTGGCTTCCTCAGGTAAGTTTTGGCAAACTCCAATCTAGCTTTTTTATGTTTCTGTGTCAGCAGTGGGGTCCTCCTGGATCTCCTACCATAGCGTCCCTTTTCATTCAGATGGCAACATATAGTGCGAGCTGACACAGTTATACCCTGTACGTGAAGGTGAGCTTGAAGTTGCCAGGAAATTGATAGAGGTTGTTTATCCACCATTTGAACAATCCTTCGTTGGCAATCTTTGATCAATTTTTCTCTTTCATCCACGTCCAGGGAGATTAGCTACAGTGCCATGGGCTATAAACTTCTTGACAATGTTGTGCACAGTGGACACAGGAACATTAAGCTCTCTAGAGATGGACTTGTAACCTTGAGATTGTCCATGTTTTGCTACAATTTGTATTCTCAAATCCTCAGACAATTCTTTGCTGCTCTTTCTCTCCATGCTCTATGTGGCACACAGGGACACACAACAGAAAGGTTGAGTCAATTTTTCACCATTTTAACCGGTTGCCAGTGTGATTTCTATATTGTCAGCAGCTATTAATTGATACAGGTGAGTTTAATTACAATTTACAGGAGCATCACAAACTAGGAATGAAATTATTTCTTACAATTTTTAGAAGGTGCCAATAATTTTGTTCAGTCCATTTTCGGGGTTTTGCGTGGAATGTGTCAGATTTGGCTTTTTGTTTCTTTGTGTAATAGCAATACAAACAAAAGAAATAAACATGAGAATGCCTAAACATTTGTAATTGCAAAAATTTTCAGGGCAAAATGGTGCATTATCTGACAGAAAAGCAGTGGTGCATATATTTTTGGCCATGACTGTACATACTGGTCGCTTGTCACTTATTCAAAGTATTAAAACCATCAGATCAGCATGAAAGTCAGAGGACTAGCATTTTCAAAGAATAGGTCATTAATGGTAGTCTGCATACTGGTGTTCCTTAATTGCTAATGAGAATAGTGAAAACTGACTGCAATAATGTTGACAAAGTCATTCTCGCCCAGAGTGTCAAGCAGTGTGTTGATTGTGTGTTTGGCAATGGTCATTCTCAGCCCCTTCATGCTGCCACTGATGTCTACCACGATCACAATGTCCTTCGGGGATGTGGCGGCCTGGATGTACCTAAGTTGTCAGAAACAAAGAGAAAATGTTGAGAATTCCAGTTACAGGTTCATAGTTCTTAAATCTCAATGCCTTGTTGCAAGCTGAAAGTGCTTTGCTTGATCTATAGCACAAAATCTTAAGACACATCCCATTACCAAGTGTCTCAGGTCAATTCAGCCTAGATTCCAAAAAAGTACTGACAATAAAATATCTTCCTAGCCCAATTTATTAGAATGTTCAGGTAAAACACACCAGGTTGAAATAGGATTAGCAGACGTTGTGGTTTAACCAGGCCCCCTTCTTGGCATGTTTACAGGGTCTACCAACTCTGAACACAGGTGCTCTATCGCCATACATTTGAGCAAATGTGTGGTTAACAGTCTCTTCTGGAGAAGGGGAATGTACTGACCAAGGTGAAGGGGATTACAGGACAAGGAGGTTAGGTATAGAAGGGGAATTTAAGGAGTTATGATAAATTATTGGACAGATTAGGTTTGGAGAGGAAATATCTAGGAGATTAGGGAATGATTAGGCACAGAAATTGAGTCAAATGGTTTAGGTAAAGCAGGTAAGTGGGTGATTGTTGGCTGCCGGGGTATTTAAGAGTTTGCAAATGGTAAATCTTGGAGTAGCAGTTACTGGAATTAAAAAAAAAAAATGGTCTCAGACTTCTATTTGGCACTGGTACTCAGATGTGCCAAGCTACACTACTGTACATCCATTAAGCAAATAGGTACATACGACGTCCAAATAGAAACAGAAGATTAATGTGAAGAATAATTTCCAAGCCAACAAAACACACATTATTTATGCGAAGATAAACATATTGCAATCAAATATATCAGACCATTAGGATTGTAGGACTGTTAAAGGTGTGATCATATCAAAGTGGATACAGAGAGTGGACTCAAATACGAAGCCTGTTCTTGGGGGAGTTTTTGAATTTCAAAGGCCCTAGAATGGGATTGGTATGGCTGTTCTGGTACCGCTCTAAATCTTTAGAGACCCAAGGCCTGATTAAAGCAGCTGTCAACATTGCTTGTATTCAATGTGTTTGTTATTATTTATTCATATCAAATACACAGTTAAAATATTTATGTTAAAGGATAGGTGTAATATTAAAGATTAAAAGGCTCCCCAGGCTTTCCGTATACTTTATACTTCACTATAAAGTAAAGATAATTAGACCTTAGATCAGACATCCTCTAATATGGAGTATGTGTCCCCTGACACTAAGACAGAGAAATAGACAGAGGCCCCTGATAAGGTAAGTGTCTAAACCAGCCATGCACATATGTTATCATATTCTGCATGCCGGGTCCAAGCCCTGGCAAATGGGGAGAGTGGAGGAAAGACCTGGCTATCTGCCTCATAACAAAAATTTGAAAATCCTATGGAAAAGCGCTCAAGCATATCAGACAAGGTGCCCAATGGTTGGACTCCCAGGCCAAATGGTAGAAAGTTTTTCAACAGTCAATATTAACATTGTGACCAACCATATTCATACCAATCCTCTCTACATCAGAGTTGTCCAAGCCTACACCCCCATGACTGATGCATCTGATCTTGAAATAGGTTTCCATGCCACCATTCAAAAATAATACATGCCCGAAAAAACATACTTAAAGCTGAATTCCAGGAATTAAGCCACTTTGTAAAATCTGCTGCATTAGGGGGTTAAGTCCGAGATGCACTTTGTGAACTGTAAATCTCTTTGATTTACAATTGACATTTTTACTGAGTGCCAGAAGTACAGCTACTTGACACTGGAGCTTCTGGTCTCAGCTCCTACAGCTGCAGAGTCATATGCAACCACTGTACAGCCCATCACTCCACCTTCCCAACCACAGAGCACTCTGTATGTGAATCCATTCTCAAAATGCAAAGCCTTCTTTGAAAGAGAGGCGAGCAAAGATGCTGTCTATGAGAAGACAGCGTCCCTCCTGTCAAAGCACTGGGAGTGTACTGATAGCTATACTCTCAGCACTCAATAAAACGGTCAATTGTAAATTGTAAAAAAAACAAGTCCAGAAGTGGCATGCACCTAATTGGATTTAACTTATAGAAAGCCTGCATATTTTATAAAGCGCACAAATTCGTGGAGTTCCGCTTTAATGATTTCAATGCAAGATGTTGCAACAAAAATAAGTTTTAAATCAGGAATACTTGATTTAAACAGCACAAATGTTGCTCATATACTTGGACCCCAGCAAATGAATTGCACCACAATCAGATCAAGTATGTCCTATGAGTCATCAATAGACCAGTTCAGTCCTTGTTGTCAAAACATTTCCAGGCGTTGATTGTGGTTCAGATTATAACTCAAACTCTGTAACATCAAAATCCGAGCACCACAAAAAGGTTTGACATCACCAAAATCCCTCCTATGTATGCATTTGAAGCAAAAACTAGCTTAGAACTACTAGACTTTGGCAAGAAGACGCCAGGCGAGCTGTGCCAAGAAATTCAAATCGACCATCATTAAACACAGCAGTCGAACACATACCATACATAAAGCCAGAGAAAAGATGCAAGCAGCCAAACCAGCAGGTATATGGAATGATGCAAGGAGGTTGAACAAAGAATTCCACAGAGGGGGGGCAAGGATAGAAAAGCAAGTTTCCTGGAACCAGCAATGTAAGTATAAAGAAGAAGACTGCATGAGGGGGCCACACCAAGTATACATTTCACCAAATCGAAAAGGATTCCAACACTATTTTCAGCTTACAAGGGCAACATCAAAGACAGGTAAGGGAAAGTACTGTCTGACCACAATTTGTCCAGAATAGATGGCAAAAATATACAGAAGAGCGGTACACCAGCAACAATGAGACCCAGCACCATGTCAGGAGGGGAAGGGGAAGCAAAAATGGAGCCAGCTATCCTTGTGGAAGAAGTAGCTTGGGCAATCAGCCAGCTTCCAAATATCAAGGCCCCAGGCATCAATACCATTCCCACAAAATTTCTGGGGTCTGTGCCATCCAAAATTATCATAGCCTTTTAACAGAAAATCTGGGAAACCAACACATGGCCAAAGAATTGGAAACAATCCGTGTTTATCCCACTTTAAAAATTGGAACAGTTTTTGGAGTCCTTCTTTTTTAAATAATTGTCCTCATCATCCCCCATTCTAGTAAGATTCTTCATAAGACCACACAACATCATCTGACACCAACCACTGAAAGAACTACCAGATGTTCAAGCTGCCTTCTGTTAGGGCTGTGGTACACATGACCATATCATAAAATTCATAATATAATGACATTAATTTCAAAAGAACATCAGCATATGCTTCATCGACTACAAGACAGCTTTCAACTGTGTCAATCATGATAAGTTATGGAGAGCCCTAAAAGAATTGCAGGGTGCCAACACATAAAATAACCTGGTATAGAACAAAACCAAAAAGCTACTGTCCGTGACACAAAGATGCAAGAAAACAGCTTTAAACTGCTTACTCGCTTATACAAAGTCCCCTCAAAACTGGCTAAGATTTACCCCTCCTTGTCTGGTTCATGATGAAAATATTGTGGTCACCATGGTACCTTTCTTCATTTGGTTGGAGTGTCCTAAGCTACGTCCCTTCTGGCAAGACATCAGAGTTCAAATTAAGCTGATCCTTGGCATTGAAGTTCCTGACTCCCCCCTGCAGTTTCTGCTTCATGTGCCCTCCATTCCCCTCAGCCACTTTAGAAAAAGTATTCTACCACATCTATTGAACGCAGCACAATGTTTAATCCCAATGTACTGGAAAAAGTCCTAGGTTCATGTTTAAGCCGAGTGGATTAAGCTAGTGAATAATGTAATGGAGGCGGAGGAATGGATGGCTACATGAAAGGATCAATACAGCACGTTTTACATCATCTGAGCAACATGGATTCATTACACTTCAGGGACCTCGCAACCCCTATCACCGGGGCTTTCCTGAACTTAAAAGCTGAAGGTGTAACGACTTGCATTTCTATGGTATTCGAACCCATGCCTTTTAAGCCTATGTCTTGGATAGACTTGTTGGCTAGCCTACCATGCAGAGTACTTACATTAACAGAGCAACTGTGAATATTTTTTCTTTTCTATCTTTGCTCTTTTTGTATGGTTTTATTTTATTGTTCTTGGTTCTTAAGTACATACTGCAGCACATGCTACATAGTGGCTGAATGATTTCTGCCTCGTGCTATGAGCAGACATCTTTTTAAAACCTGCTTTGGTGGGGATCTCCCACATTGGGCAGATGACAGTGCCTTGAGTGGGTGCCAAACACTTCCGGTCCACTCCGACAGTGACTTGTATGGTCCCTGCATAGTAGTCGGGGGACCCAGATCCCCCTTATTCCTCTTCAGATTTACACCAGCATTTGGGTCACGCCTGGCCCTTGTAGAATCTTATGTTATTACTCGTAGATATTCTTAATCAAATGCTCATATATAGCTCATTGTTAGCCACAAGATGTCAACTCTGTTACATAAATTCTGTCTGGTACTACCTTTTATTTTTTTACATGAAAACCTGTGCCTGAAAATAAAGACTACTTAAAAAAGAAAAAAACACTGTCCGCACACCATATGGAGACACCGATTGGTTCAAGATAAACATGGGGGTGTGGCAAGTTGTATTCTTTCCCCATTCTTATTCAACCTGTATGCAGAAAAGATTGTGAGGAAACTGGAGCCTGAATACTGAAAAAAGTAAGTGAAGATTGGTGGAAGGGACATCAATAATCATCAATTCGCCAATGACACGACCCTCCTCTCTGAAACCGAAGATGGCCTAAAACATCTCGTCAAAATGATCAAAGAGGAAAGTGTTTGGCTTATCCTTGAAGATCAAGAAGACCAAGATGAAGACCGCTACAAGACAAGGATACGTCAAAATAGTAATTGACAGTAAGAAAATTGAATGTGTGCAGAAGTACACTTTCCTGGGATCGCAGATTGATCAAACTGATGATTGTAGTCTAGAAATAAAGCACTGTATCACACTGGGTCACACAGCAATGATGAGCATGAACTGAATATGGAAAAGCAAGGATGTTGGCCTGGGAACCAAATGCAGATTAGCCCATATTATTGTGTTTACCAAAGTTGGATCATGAGAAAACTGAAGAATTTGAACTATGGTGCTGGGGAAGGCTCTTGCACATTCCATGGACAGCAAAAATAACAAATCAAGTATCAGAGTGCATAAAACTGGACAAGTCATTGGATGTCTAAATTCCATAATTTAGTCCAACCTATTTCACACATGTATTGTGATTGAACTCACTTGCTCAGACTGGTTAGTGGAAAAGGAAGCCAGGTCTCCAAAGCACCTGATAATTAAACATCATAAGAGCTGACACCAATCAGAACAGGAAACAGCTAAAAAGGAAACAAATGTGGAGAGAGCTGGTCCACAGTCTCCTAGAGTCAAATATGACCAAAAAGATAATATGATCGTCATTAATCATCACCATGCACATAATTGTCTGGCTTTAGAGTTGATTTACTTTAAGGACTTAAGTTCAGTGTTATGTTTTGATTTTGATTAGAGTTGGCCATACTTCTCTTCTGGATCACAGGAGTACACTTACTTGTCCTTTCCTGTGACCCAGAAACAGCTGACAGCCGGCCAAAGTCCACTGTTGGCTGATGTCACAGAGCGGCTCCAGGCTCTGGATGGATCTCAACATAAGGTTGGGATCCACCCAGACACCTGATTGGCAACTGGCTCAGTCTCTCAGCCTATGGCTGACAGCCTGAGTCAGCTGCTCCCACCATTTCCATAGCTGAGCACTCCAGAGAGCACTGAAGGGGCAGTGACTTACAGCCACTGCTCTAAGCTCCATGTGGACCAAGAACTGAGCTGTCAGTGATCATGTGTTTGCTCAATTTTTGGGCTTAGAGCCAGCTGCAGAATCATACCAATGCCACAGCATGGAGGTGAGTATGTATGTTTGTTGTTTTCTTTTTGGGCTTATAGCTTTAAAAAGTTATTTTATAGAATTAGACTAAACCAAAACTGATGACATTAATTTGCTAGTATTTGTCAGGCAAGCTTGTAAAAGGGCGACAATGCAGGTGCACAACTGGGAGACAATCTGTCACCATACACCATAGGAAGTGTCTGAACAAGAACCATGTCAGGATCACCAAGTGTTATTTTAATAAAAGATGCAGAATTAGATAGACTAAAAGGAAATGAGGAAATTACATAGTTATGTTGGAAAAAGACATTTCCATTGTGTTCAACTAAAAGACATAAGAAAATAATTAAAAACCATCAGAATTGTAAATCAGCGCTTAATCCTGAGGAAGAGAAGAAGAAACTCTTATAAAGTTTAACCACTTGCTCTAAGAAGGAAAAATTCTGTTGTGATCCCCAAAGGCAGCCGCATACTCCATGGATCAACAATGTGTTGATCAACAAGTGATACTTCTGAACTTCTTGCAGCCCATGTAATGCATATGTGCGGCAGCAAACAGGACAGGCTTTACCATACATACAGTGCACACAAGGGTCCATGGACGTTCGAGATTCCTGTGCAAAGAGCACACTCACTGCATGTTCCCAGAACACTGACTGAGGAGTCAGAGACATCTTATGGTTTATAGTCATGATTGGGAGCCAGTGGGAAGGGCTCCCGATCATGTTACTACTGTGACATCCAATCACAGTGTTTATGTGATTGGGAAGACCGTACTGCCTCATGGACATAACGAGCCATTTAAAGGGATGCTCAGGCTGGGTGGGAAGGGGTTAAAAATATTAATATCCAATCAACATTAAATATGTTACAGTTTGAACAAAATTTTATTGGTTGGGTTTAGATCTGGAAGTGTTAAATGTTAATGTGCATGAGAGCAGCAGCTCTGTCTGGTCTCTCCCTCCTCATTGGCTATCACAGCAGCGGGAGCCATTGGCTCCTGATGCTGTCACTCACAGCCAGTAAGCCAATGGGGAGATAGCATGGGGGGGGGCTTGGGGGAAGCAAAGCTGCACCCTCTGTGTGCATGGACAATGTCCATTCACAGGAGCATGGCTCATAGAGTGCCCCCATAGCAAGAGGCTTGCTATTGGGGACACTCAGCAGGGGGGAGGAGCCAGGACAGCCAGAGGGGGACACAAAAAGAAGAGAATTGGAGTTGCTCTGTGCAAAATTATTGTAAAGAGCAGGTAAGTATGTTATTTTAATTTAAAATAAATATTACAACCTTTGGAATTACATTAAAGGTCCTGTGCAATAAACTTCCAGTGGCAAGTTCCTGACACAAGACTTAAGCACTGCAAAAGTAACTAGGGATAATCCTCACCATCCACGGTTTCTGCAATCAAATGAGATGACACCGTTCTCATCTGGCGTCCATTTTATACCTAAGGGGGGGATGAAAAAAAAATCACCCAGAATAGGAATCCAAAGTTAGTTGAAATGTACAAAGAAATTAATTATTTATGAATATTTATAAGCAATTCTGCTGAAAGGACATGTACCTGGATACAGCCGGAAAAACCCAGTGGAGCTTCCAAAATACTGCCAGGTTAACGTGGGATCCCTCTGGAAGTTTTCCACGAAGACAGGATTCAGGGCTTCAGACATGTACACACCATTGAGAATGTCTGGATCTGTGGAAGAAACCAACTGTTCAAGTCGCGGAAGTGTGGAATATTATGACCACACTCATGATTCATGAGAAAATGTTGAGTATCCTTAATGATTCTCATCCTCGGTTCCTGAAAATTTGGAGCCCTTAGTGGTCTTATGCTAACCCCTCACTTCCCGATCACAGCTTGGGTTCGAACCACGTTTAAGGGGGGTCCTTGCCCTCAGGTTCTATTATCTCTGATTCTTTCTGCTTAACTCTTTTTTCTAACTGTACTTCTCTCCTCCTTGATCTTCTGCTATGTTATCCCCCCTCCCCCAACCCTACTTCCCCATGGCCCTCTGCCACGATTTACCTCTGCTGGGTATTTTACTCAGGTTCATTTGGCTCTAGTTGGGGCACTCTTTTGTTGAAGGATAATCTGTTTATGTGTCGCCTATTTTATTATATATCTGACAATTGGTCCCCTGTGAGGGACCTTATTTTCTAAATGTTTGTACCTTGTTATTTTTTCAAACAAGAAAAAAAGATAAAAAAGTAATAAAAAATGATTGTACCAGAGAATGTCTGGATCTGCAAAGATTCATTCAGTCGGAAATGACAAGAAAGTGTGAATCAAAGTATACAGGTTTAAAAGCAAGCAGAAATAATAAAGGCGGGTGATATAACAAAAGATTTCTAATATACACAGATACCACCAAAGGTCCTGCCAGAGTCTGCAAAGAGCAACTTCCTCAAAAAGTTACTATTCAAATGGCCTTAAACTGGTCATACATGGACTAAACTGGTCATACATGGAATAAACTGGTCATACATGGATTAAGCTGGTCATACATGGATTAAGCTTCCATACATAGATCTTTTTTTTTTCCTTGCAGCAAGCTGGTTGATCAATAAAACCCAAACGGATTCCTCCATCCATACATTCAAGGTTGATGAAGGAATCCTGCCTGTTGCGGTATTGTATTCTGACAGCGGGACTTCTCCACTGTCAGAATGCCTTGACTAGAGTTTCAACCAATTGCCTGCATGCATTGATCGAACACAAATTTTTCCAACATTTCTGTTACAAGCTTCATCCTCTGATCCACTCCTCCCAAACAAGAATGGCCACAGATGGATGGAAATTCAGTAGTTCCTTGCTAAAACAGATGGATTTCAGCCAGTTTTAGGCACTCTTCATCCCATGTTACAATCCTGAGGCCTGTTAATAAGTTGTAGGCCCCTTTCACACGAGCGCTCCGATCTGAACCCTTCATTCTGCTCTATAGGGCGGCGGGCGTAAACAGACTTGCGTCCGTTTACACCCACCTACCTCCAATAGGTTCCATCAAAAACAAACCAAAGGTGATCTGTTCCCCTCTGGGCAGATCAGATTGGAGAAAAGTCAGGTGCAAACAGACAGCCAGTCTATTTACATCTGACTACCCATAGAGCAGAGCGGGCTGTGTCTGTGTCTGCTCTGCATAAGCGGAGTGAACCCCGATCTGTCAACTGCCGCTCAGCTGACAAATCCTCCGCTGAGCAAGCAGATCACAGGTGGAGCCCGTCCTGCGTGAAAGGGGACGTAAGGACACTATGCTTGGCATTTGCTGAATGGGGATAGAGGGGCAGGTATTCTTTAACCACTAGCCTACAGGGCACTTATACCCCCTTCCTGCCCAGGCCAATTTCCAGCTTTCAGCACTGTCGTACTTTGAATGACAATTGTGCGGTCATGCAACACTGTACCCATATGACATTTTTATCATTTTTTTCACACAAATAGAGCTTTATTTTGGTGGTATTTATTCGCCACTGGGTGTTTTATTTTTTGCTCTATAAACAAAAAAAGAGCGAAAAATGTGAATATAAAAGTTTTTCTTTGTTTCTACATTTTTTTGAGACAGATAGAGCTTTCTTTGTGGGATTTTTATTTTTTATTAAACAAACCAAAAACCACTGAAAATTTTGAAAAAGAAAACGTTTTTTCTTAGTTTTTGTTATACAGTTTTGTAAATAAGTGATTTTTCTCCTTCACTGATATGCGCTAATGAGGCTGCAGTGGTGGGCACTGATAGGCTGCACTAATGGACACTGATAGGTGGCACTGATGAGGCACTGGTAGGTTGCACTGATGGGCATTGACAGGCATCACTGATGGGCACTGAAAGGCAGCACTGATACATGACACTGATATATGGCACTGATAGGCGGCACTGATAGGCGGCACTGATAGGCAGCACTGACTTTCACTGATAGGCGGCACTGACTGGCACTGGTAGGCGGCACTGACTGGCACTGCTGCGCACTGATAGGCGACACTGACTGGCACTGATAGGTGGCACTGATTGGCAGCACTGATAGATGGCACTGATAGGCGACACTGACTGGCACTGATTGGCAGCACTGATAGGTGGCACTGATGAGTGACATTGAAAGGCAGCTCAGATGGGCACTGATATGTGGCATTGATGTGCACTGGTATGCACTGATATGTGGCATTGATGTGGCACTGATGGGCACTGGCACGTGGCACTGATGGGTACTGACACGTGGCACTGATGAGCACTGACAGGTGGCACTTCTAGGGCCACACTGATCATCAGGGCACACTGCCAGCTCGTGACAGCTCGAGAGGAGAAAAACGCCGATAACCGTCATTTCCGTGTTTACATGTGATCAGCTGTGATTGGACACAGCTGATCACATGACTGAGCTGACATCTTCGGCTCTTTCCGTGATCCGCTGTGTCCGAGGGACACAGCGCACCGGCGATTGCCGCGCTGCGCGCTCCCTGAGCCGCACATGCGCAGTGAGAATGGTAGGACGTCATATGACGTCCTATCAGAACGAGAGAACCACCTTGCGCCCGTCATTGTACTATAGGGCGGGCGGAAGGTGGTTAAAGGGAAACTATAAGGCCTCATGCACACTGGACATTATAAAAACGTCCATTTTGTTGCATTTTTGAATTAGAGTTTTTTTAGCATCTTCATAGTTTGTGTTTTTAGCATTTTTTGGCAACATTTTTATAAAATCTTGAGGCTCAAAAACATTCAGAAACACCAGATAGCTATTTTATGGTGTTTTCCAGCATTAGAATGCTTTTACAGCTGAAAAACTCCTCTTCAATCGCCTGCCAAAAAACGCTGATAAAGGCAAATGTGTGCATAGACACAGGATAACACGCTGGGGAGTTTACTGGCAGTAGAAAAAAATGCCTGGAGCCCAAAACAGCAGCTGTAAAAACACCCAGTATGCATGAGGCCTAATGGTTTTTGTCAGTTTTTTTTTTTGTTGGTTTATACACTGTTATTTTATGTCTTTTTTATTTTATGTATATGCAATGTTTTACAAAATAAAGATTAAACACATGACAGTGTTTGTAGAGCACTATGAGCAGGTCAAGGAAAGCAGAACAACTTGCTTTGCAGTTCTCTTTCTCTAATTGAGCACTGAGCTGAGCACTCTGATAAGGGAGGAGTCACATTGCTGTGAGGACTCATCTGTCAACAACTTTCAACAAGACTCAGTAGACAAAATTACAAATTCCTTCAGTAGATGAGAAAGTTTACATTTATGTACATTTAGGCTCCGTTCACACCAATGCATTTTTTTTTTAGTGCTTTTTGCAGAAACGCACTACAGTCCATTTAACATGGTTACCTATGGAACATGTTCACATCTCTCCTGTTTTTAGCTGCTGCATGTTTAGAAAGGGGCAGGGACTTTTTTTAAAAGCAAAAAGCAGCATTTTTTCTATAATAGAGTTCAATGAAGAAGCTGCTGAAATGCATGGCAGTGCGTTTTTGCCACGTTTTGCATTTCTATTCTGCCCAGCAACAAAAAAAATCCCATTTAAACAAAAAAAAAAAGCTGAACAAAAACACAAAACAAGGTAAAAACGCTTGTAGAAAAATGAATGCAAAAAGCACTGCAGAATGGACAAAAAACAAACTGCACAGGTGTGAACGGAGCCTTATTAGGTATTTAGTGGTTTAGCCAGAATTTCCTCTGAAACCTGGATGAGGTATTTGTATAGTAGTTGTTACATAGTTGATACAGCCAAACGCAAGCCAGTTCTCTCATCTATACCATGAAAAAAAAAGAAGCTTCTTCAACCCCTATCATGAGTTATAGCTTTAGGACAGGGCAAGCATTAATAAACATTTAATGCCCCTCCCCCCCCCCCACCAGAAGAAGGCGCACTGAATAAGCAATTCATTTCAGTTCATCAGCTTCTACGGTCCCTGCGGGGTCCTGGAACTCACCTTTGTTGTACACATTAGTAGGAAGCTGAATATTGCTGAGTGTTGTGTTCACCATCAGATTATTAAAGTGCTCATTAGTCTCCAAAATAAATTCGTTCCCCAGATCCACATAATTATCATCTTCATCCTTTTCATTAATCCGCACTGAATTGTAGTACTCAAACTGCAGAAGAATTACAGGCACAATAAACACAACAACATATATATATACAGTAAGGACTAAAATCACCCTGTTACATCTGTGGATGTTAGTCTCATGTAACCTAGGACAAGGTGTAGAAATTCATAGCAACCAATCAACATGCATCTTTCATTCACCAACCTATTACTTGGGCTGCCCACCATCATTAAATTGTTAGGATGATTGTTCTGCACCACTCCAATGACTATCTGTCACTCTACTTGTCCTCTCTCCCTCCTCGTCTCACTGTCCTGGGTCGTGCAGTTGTTCCAGGGGTATTGGCAGGCTTTTTACCTCTCCAAGGTAAGTAAATATTTTCTATATAGAAGACATATGTGTATTCTTTCTTGAATCTTGGAGTTCTTTGTGTATTTCTTCCAGATCTGTGCAGTAATCCAGTGTGAAACGTTAATTCTGTGCAGGGGCTTCCCGTAATAAAGACCAGTCACTGTTGTTCCCTCTCCTTGTGCAGGGTGACTGGTCTTGTCACCACCCCCTTATGTAGTTCTATGTAGGTAGCCTGTAGTGGGTGGAGCTTTCTGGGTCCCTCCCCCAGCTCTGCTCTTTGCACAGGCTATGTACAGCACAGGAATTTGATGCACTGAAAGTGGATTTCTCTCTCTTTACAGCTATTAAGGAATATATTTAAATGAAAGTTTTTGTACATGGAGTCCAGCTTTACCCGCTTCCCCACCTCCCTATAGTGGAACTACTGCTACAGAGCGGCAGGGCTCCACAAAATCATGTATATACACGTGATTTGCATTTCCGGATAGAGAGTGCGCGTCACCCTACCTGCACCGCCATTGGCAGATAGGCATGTCAATCACCGGGTCCTGGCCAGAGATTCCCCGCCAGCACCTGACAATTGCCGTGCAAAGCTGACAGGGGAGAGACTTGTGTGTAAACAAAACAGGTCTCTCTCCTGCCAGCAAGGACATGCTGCTTTGTATTTTTATATAAAACAGAATGTCTTCAAGGAAAAACAGCACACACATTAAAATACACACAGCACACAGTTAACCCTTTGATCGCCCAAAAGTTAACCCCTTTCTGCCCAGTGTCATTAGTGCAATGTCAGTGCTTTTTATTAGCACTGATCACTGTATTAATGTCACTGAGGATGTCAGTGACACCAAGTCAGTTCCCCCCCCCAGTGTCAGAATGCGTGCTGCAGTCTCGCTATAAGTCACTGATCGCTGCCATCACTAGTATAAAAATAATAAAAAAAATTCCAGTGTATATATACCGCCATTTGTAAATGCTATAACTTTCACATAGGCCAATTAATTTACACATGCTGCGATTTTTTTTTTTAGCATAGACATTAGATGTTTAGATTAGATTAGATTAGAAATTAGATTTTTTTAACCACTTGCCCTCCAATTGCGCGGTTATGCAACGCTGCACCCAAATGAAATTTATGTCCTTTTTTCCCCAAAAATAAAGCTTTCTTTCGGTGGGTATTTGATTGCCTCTGCATTTGTTTTTGCTTTTTTTGTGCTATGAACAAAAAAAGATCGACATATTTGAGAAAAAAAAACAATAGATTTTTATTTTTTGCTATTAAACATGTCCAGTAAAAAATGTTTAAAAATCAAATTTCATCATACATTTAGGCCAAAACGTATTCTGCGACATGTCTTTGCTTAAAAAGAATCCCAATACATGTAAATCCCCAGTGACACCAATACAGTGATCAGTGCTAATAAAAAGCACTGACACTGTACTAATGACACTGGGCAGGAAGGGATTAACAAGTGTAAGCACATTGCTTTGTATTGCTCTGCTATGCAGGGCAATACAAAGCAGTGTGCAGGAGCTGACAGGGGAGAGATTTGTATTGTTTACATACAGACCTCTCCCCCGTCAGTGATACTCGCCGATCACTGGGTTCCGGCGGGAAATCACCTTTTGGGCAGCCCTGCCGCCCTTTAGCAGTATTTCTACTATACGGCGGCGGCAGGGGCGGACTGACAACTCATGGGGCTCCCGGGCAATAGGGGATCATGGGGCCCCTGTGTCCTTGCCCAAAAAAAAAAGCCTATGAAAAAGGTACCAGGGGCATCTCATGGGGCCCCCTACTGACCCCGGGCCCTAGGGCATTGCCCAGTTTTCAAATGGTCAGTCCGCCCCTAGGCGGCGGTGCAAGTGGTACCAATTTTTTTTATTGGACATGTTTAATAGCAAAAAGTAAAAAATACAGTTTTTTTCAGAATTTTCGGCCTTTTTTTGTATATAGCACAAAAAAAAAAAAAACCGCAGAGGTGATCAAAAAACACCGAAAGAAAGCTCTATTTGTGGGAAAAGAGCGTTGCATGACCACGCAATTGTCAGTTAAAGTAAGGCAGCGCCGTATAACAAAAAATGGCCTGGTCAGGAAGGGGGTAAAATAGTGGGGGGGTTCATAAAAGTGCATCTAAAATTTTTTGTTTCCTTTTGGAAAGAGTAGGAGATTGTTAAAACTCCTCCCATTTTTTTTTTTTGCTCCCTGTGTCCAATTGTTGAGATTTAGACAGCCGTCATCAGCACAGGTGTCCCCATTGGAAGATTTCCCGTATATATTCCTTTTCTGTAGATATCTGTAAAATGTTGGATTTCCTATCACTTTTACTTGGAATGACAATGGTCACCAGAACCAACAGAGAGCCTGAATCACCCCATAGTGGTCAAAAACAGCATTAAAAACCTTTCAGAAATGCTGATATATCTACACTACATCCAAAAGGAAAAACAACAATAATGTTTGGGCTTTAAATATATTTTAACCTACGCCCTAAAATAAATCTAAACTCCTTCCTTTCCTTAAGCCTTGAAGAGTTGTACTGGGTCCTCTTCTATACTGCGACTGCTTACTATGATTTCACTGCACACTGTGAGCTTCTTGCTATGTGCATTAGAAGCTGCAGCAAGTCATATAGAGCTCACCTCATTTCCTGCCTGGCAGCATCATCTAGCCATTTCCACACAAATGCAGCTCTCCTAAGAATGCCCACACCTCCAGACTGACACCCATCCCTTAAAGCATTTTGATATTTTCACGATTCCTCCCAAAATTCATTCCACTACTTATATTAGTGCTGAGGAATCTTGGGAGGAGTAATAAGGCAGGGTTCTGTGATGTTTGGAAGAAGCTATGTATAGCACCCTGCCGACCCTTCCCACTAGCCATGATCTGCCTGCATTTCATAGCGAAGCACAAAGACCCGGTGATGACATCACTGGGTTTAAAATAAGGAGAAACCATTGAAGGAAAAGTATAAGCAGATTAAACTCCATCTTTAAAACTAAAGTCAAGTTTTTTTTCAGTCTGTGTCCCATTGGTAATGTTTCCCTTTACAATCTGTCCCAGGGACACATATAGAAGCACAAATTCTTTTCAGTTGTCACCAGACTAGGTGCCTCCTCTGCAATATTTTCCCTCGCCTCCTGTTACTTTGGCAGGGTGGAATTCCCATCACTTTCTGTCCTGTTAACAATGGTCCCCAGGACAAAGACAGAGGGTGACTCTGCCCAGTGGGGACACAGACAGTAATAAAAACCTGAATATGAAAATGAGAGAGCCAGACCAAAGATTCTTGTCCAGATTAATTTTGTCATTGATGTTCAGTAAAAGAGCCAACACATTTTGAAGAGAGCTGAAAGTACCCCTTCATCAGGGCTACAAACATACCGTATATACTCGAGTATAAGCCGACCCGAATATAAGCCGAGGTACCTAATTTTACAACAAAAAACTGGGAAAAACTATTGACTCGAGTATAAGCCGAGGGGGGAGGAATAGTGCCCATTGTTGGTGTCAGTGGGGGGAGGAATAGTGCCCCATCGTTGGTGTCAGTGGGGGGAGGAATAGTGCCCCATCGTTGGTGTCAGTGGGGGGAGGAATAGTGCCCCATCGTTGGTGTCAGTAGGGGAGGAATAGTGCCCCATCGTTGGTGTCAGTGGGGGGAGGAATAGTGCCCCATCGTTGGTGTCAGTGGGGGGAGGAATAGTGCCCCATCGTTGGTGTCAGTGGGGGAGGAATAGTGCCCCATCGTTGGTGTCAGTGGGGGGAGGAATAGTGCCCCATTGTTGGTGTCAGTGGGGGGGAGGAATAGTGCCCCATCGTTGGTGACCCCTGCTCCAGCCTGGGCTCGCTCCCTCCCTCCCTCTCCCATGTACACACTTACCGGTCAGATGTCTTCCTTCTCCGGCCGCTCTCCTCCTCTTCACTCGCTCGATCTTCGCGGTGCCGCTCGGCTCCTCCTCTCCAAGCTCCACCTCCTCGCCGGTGATTGGGCGCCTGTGTGCCTCTCCTGAGCTACAGTTCCGGCGGCCAATCACCGGAGAGGATTGATCCCGGGGGTGTGTCCAGATGACAGGCACGGCATGTCAACTGCAGACGTTGACTCGAGTATAAGCCGAGGGGGCCGTTTTTCAGCACAAAAAATGTGCTGAAAAACTCGGCTTATACTCGAGTATATACGGTACATACAAAATCAATAATCAATATTTAGAAAGTTAATTAAGGCCTGGTTCACACCTATGCATGTTGCAATCTGCTGCAGGAAAAAAAAAGTCCCTGACCCTATCCAAAAACACAGCAGCTGAAAACACATAGACGGGAAAATGTCTCATAGGAAACCATGTTAAATGGACTATAGTGAGTTTCTGCAAAATGCACAAAACGCTGAAAAATGCATAGGTGTGAACCAGGCCTAAATATGTCTCATATGTATACAAAATAATTCATTTACATTACTAACACTAACATTAACTTAAATATTTATAAAAAATGTAATCGTTATAAAAATGTATTATTATTGCTATCATTTAAAACCGAACTCCAGCTTTCCCTGCAGTCCTGCACATTAGTAAAGGCTCTTCCTCCATACTAAAATTGCTTACTCTGATTTCACTGCACACTGTGAGCTTATCACAGTGTGCTTTATAGGCTACATTGAGTCTTATAGAGCCTGCCTCATTTCCTGGATGGAGGACGTCCAGCATCATCTAGGCTTTCCTCCCCAGCTTTACTATCATTCGCCCATACTTTCATGCACTGGCTCTCAAGTCTTTAATTCATGGAGATCACATGTGGGCAGTACCCAGGGCAGTCTGCATGCAAATATCCCCTGTATAGAAACTCTCACTCCTCCAGACTGACATCAATCTACCAAGGCAATTTGATATATACACAACTTCTCCCAAAAGTTGTCCCACTGCTTGCACCAAGGCTGAGCGCTCTTTAGAGAAGTAGTGAGACAGGGTTCTGCGATATTCTCAGAAGCTATGTACAGCACCTGCTGGCTTCTCCTACCAGCCATGATCTTCCAGCACTGCACAGAGAAATACAGAGACCCAGTGATACTATCACTGGGTCTAAAATAAGGTATAAAATGTAAATATTGTATTAAAAAATCTCATTAGTATATTGATGAGGGGGGAGGGAAGAACCAGGGAAAGCAGAATACAGGCAGATTAAACTTCAGCTTTAAGAAAGTCTAAAAAAACACAGATTAACACTTAACAGTTATATTATCAGATATAAAGGAAGATGACAAACTATTAAATAGGGAAATCATTATTAAGTAGGGTAAAATAACCTGCACTGACTAAGAAAAAAAAAAAATAATGATTAGATTGCATTTCTAAAGATTGATGTGTTGGAGTAATGCAACGATGGCTACAGTTCTAGGTCAGATCCTAAAAAACGCACAGAACATTGCTGTATATACATTGCAGATTACCAGTCTACTGAAGGGTTGTGCTACAGAAATCATTGTCTATAAATATTATTCTCACCTCCATAGACTCATTAAACTCGTGATTTAAATCTGCCTCTTCCGCAGCCTCCACCAATCTCTGAAGAGAGAAAACAAGAAAGGGGAAACAAATTGATTAGATGGAAAGTATAGTACATAAAAAGCTTTTTGGGCCATACTTCTCTTGTGGATCACTGGGGTACACTTAATTCTGCACTCCTGTGACCCAGATTCAGTCCACTATCACTGATGTCACAAAGCTGGTCAAGGCATGGCAGGGATCCCAACAATAATGTCAGGATCCACCCAGATGTCTGACCAGCAACTGGCTCAGCCTCTCAGCAGGCCACTGAAAGCCAGCCACTCCCACCTCCTCCACAGCCCAGAGCTCCAGAGAGCGCTGGAGAGGCAGACCACAGAGCTTTGACTGAGTCAGCGCTCTGTGCTCAAAGCAGACCTGAGAGCTGAGTGATCAGCAGTGTTTGATTGCTCAATTCTTGGTGTAGAGCTGGTGAGGGACAGATGCAGCATTGGATTGATGTTGCAACCATCTTAGTAGGTATCAATGTTTGTAATTTTCCATTCCCATACTTCTCTTTTAAAGGGTAAAACCAGCCAAAACAGTTTTCCTAGTTTTGGATGAGGTGGGGCAGGATTAGCACCCCTGTCAGCTTTTAACTGCTATCTCCAACAGAACACACATATTTTCACAAAATATGAACACAGACGTTAAAGCTTAAAACTCTATCATTTAACCTGTCAGGGCCACATGGTGAGGCCTATAGAAGATACACTGGAGTAGGAGTGTCGTTACCTCTACAGCTTCCACCTTCCTCCGCAGCATACTCTCCATCTCTTCTGAAAACTTCTTCACCAACTCTAGCCCATCCACCTCCTCAATGCTCAGGGTGGGCTCTACGTCTTTGTATTTCTAGCAGAGAGAGGAGACAGAGAGAGACCCAGTCACATCTAGCACATCTACATCTAAGCCTAACCAAATATATTGTAGTGCAGACTGTGTGGTTTACTCTTCCAGACAGCTCCATGGTCTACAGGTGACAACAAAGCTCTCCAGCACCCTCATCACTTGTGAGACCACTCGTGTTGACCATGCTAGCTCAGCAACAGGGCCACAGATCAGATCAGGGCCAAGTGCTCCATGTACTTGGCTTCCGGAGGAATTTAATAGGCATTTAGTAGGCAGTGATACTTCTTCTTTAAAGTGTATTTTCAATCTTGCAGCCAATTTGGGATAACACCGACTTTCTATTTGTTACATGTTCTCGTTCACAAGCATACCTTTAGGGCACAATTATGGATGAATAGAGTAAATGATGGCTGAAGTTTCAGTGCCTGGGAGTGTATTTTTGCCCAAAGACAGGCATTACAAAAACCTGCAATTGCACTCCCATATGCATGTGAATGGGTCAAGGGCGGACTGACCATTCGAGAACTCGGGCACTGCCCGAGAATCCGAGGTCAGTAGGGAGGCCCATGAGATGCCCCTGGTACCTTTCATAGGCTTTTTTGGGTGTGGTTTGAGTGTGGGCAAGGACACAGGGGCCCCATGATCCCGTATTGCCCGGGGGCCCCATGAGTTGTCAGTCCACCCCTGGAATGGGTGTATTTTTTAAATGGAGTTTATTTTGTATTGTATACTTATGTTCAAAAAATATGCTGCAGCTGTGGCTCCCAGGCATCACAACTCCAGTCATATGTACAGCTGGAGTGTGTCCGCAGACATTTGTACCCATTTGTGAGGTCAGGTACTGATGATGGATGAGGAGACCTGGTTCACAATCAGCATTTCATCCTAAATGTTCAGTAGGGTTGAGGTCAGGGTTCTGTTCAGACCACTTGAGTTCCTTCCCAGAAAATTAGTTGAACCAGGTATTCATGGAGCTAGCTTTTAACACACGGGAACAGTCATGCTGAAACAGAAAAAAAGTCTTCCCCAAACTGTTGTCACAAGGTCGGAGGTGCACAACTGTCTGAAATATCTTAGTACTCTGTAGTATTAACATTGGAAACATCTGAACTCAATCATTCGGAGGGGTGTGCACATACATTTGGCCTTATAGTGTACATGCATGTTAAGTAATAAGTCAGTGTGCCACTTCCAGGTATTTATTACCTCTCACATACAGTTGCAAGAAAAAGTATGTGAGCCCCTTGGGATTACGTGGAGTTTTGCATGAATTGGGCAGTGCTCTGAACGTCATCTAAGTCACAACAATAGAAGAACACAGTCTGCTGAACATAATACTACACAAACATTAGATGTTGCCATGGTTTAATTGCACATAACATGTAAACATTCACAGTGCAGGGAGGAAAAAGTATGTGAGGCCCTAACTTAATGACTTCTCCCAGAGCTAATTGGAGCCAGGAGTGAGCCAACCTTGACTCCAATCAGTGTGATGATATTGGATGTGCTGCTGACAGCTGTCCTGCCCTTAAAAAACACACACCTGTTTTGGGTTTACTGGTTTCAAGAAGCACTGTCTGATGTGAACCATGCCTCGCAGAAAAGAGCTCTCAGAAGACCTACGATCGAGAATTGTTGACTTGCATGAAGCTGGAAAGGGTTACAAAAGTATCTCCAAAAGCCTTGGTGTTCATGTGTCCACGGTAAGACAGACTGTCTACAAATGGAGAAAGTTTAGCACTGTTGCTACTCTCCCTAGGTGTGGTCATCCTGTAAAAATGACTGCAAGAGCACAGCGCAGAATGCTGCATGAGGTAAAGAAGAATCCCAGAGTGTCAGCTAAAGACCTACAGAAATCTCTGGCACATGCTAACATTTTTGTTGACACATCTACAATAAGGAAAACATTAAACAAAAATGGAGTACATGGGAGGACACCACGGAGGAAGCCATTGCTGTCCAAAAAGAACATTGCAGCACGTTTGAAGTTTGCAAAAGAGCACCTGGATGTTCCACAGCACTACTGGCAAAATATACTGTGGACAGATGAAACCAAGATTGAGTTGTTTGGGAGGTACACACAACACTATGTGTGGAGAAAAAAAGGCACAGCACACCAACAACAAAACCTCATCCCCACTGTGAAACATGGCGGAGGGAGCATCATGGTTTGGGGCTGCTTTGCTGCCTCAGGGCCTGGACGGATTGTTGTCATTGATGGGAAAATGAATTCCAGAGTTTATCAAGACATTTTGCAGAAAAAAGGAACGACCATCTGTCCGCCAACTGAAGCTCTGCAGAGGATGGGTGATGAAACAGGACAATGACCCAAAGCATACAAGTAATTTAACAAAACAATGGCTGCAACAGCACAGAATACGCCTTCTGGAGTGGCCCAGTCAGGGTCCTGACCTCAACCCGATTGAAATGCTGTGGCATGACCTTAAGAGAGCGATTCACACCAGACATCCCAAGAATATTGCTACACTGAAACAGTTTTGTGAAGAGGAGTGGTCCAAAATGACTCCAGATCATTGTGCAGGTCTGATCTGCAACTACAGGAAACGTTTGGTTGAGGTTATTGCTGCCAAAGGAGGGTCAACCAGTTATTAAGTCCAAAGGTTCACATACTTTTTCCTCCCTGCACTGTGAATGTTTACATGTTATGTGCAATTAAACCATGGCAACATCTAATGTTTGTGTAGTATTATGTTCAGCAGACTGTGTTCTTCTATTGTTGTGATTTAGATGACCAGAGCACATTTTTATGCCCAATTCATGCAAAACTCCACGTAATCCCAAGGGGTTCACATACTTTTTCTTGCAACTGTAGATCGCAGTACTCCCCTTGACAATGCCTTCATCTTCTTCTCTCTCCAGGACGACACCATCTTTGTTCAAGCATCATCCAGGATCACCAACTACTTCCTGGACTGAGGTGCCGCCTAAGAGCTGACACTGTCATTTTAATCCCAGTGCCTGTGCGGTTATCGGTTGTGTTCACAAATGTCTGACACAGATCGACCCCTGCTGCAGCCTCTCACCTTGCGACTAGTTAAAATTTTACAGTCAGATTATTCTGGGAGAAGAAACCAAGGAAATAGTTCCTCCTGCCTACAGCAGACTGAGGACATCATCTCAAGCTACACAAAGTCACTCACTGGTGCTACTTTTTAAAGGATAAAAAGGTGAAGCTGTTCTAAAAAGTAAAAAAAAAAAAAAAAAGGTATTGTTCATGTAAATTGTGATATATCAGGAATTTATTCATGCAGATTTGTAAAGTCAGTGACAGGTCCACCATTTTTTTTAAACTATTTAAAAATACATTGCGGCCATGCTCCCCTTCCCCCCATCGATAGTACTGCAATGTTTAGTATTTTGTAATTGGATTCAGTCTAATTATTATACTCTAATCAGATTGTAGAATCAGCTGTGGGTGCATTGTGGACAGTCTGTGCTCCTGGGGTGGTAAATACTTAAAGGAAAAGAAATAAGGGACAATGAAATGTTGAAAATCATCTTACAGACGTAGAGACGCAAAGACAAGAGGGGAATTGTACGCCGTACTATTGTATTGTCTCTTCCAGCTGGAACACAGAAACAGAACGTGCAAGAATTCCCACATCTGTGCTGAGGGACTAGACTGATCGGGTTTAGTGGGTTACAGAAAATAAAATACTTTTTTTGCAGCATTTTGCCCCCCACACACACTTGTTTGCGCCTGAAAAAAAATCCTCTCCTAATCTAGAACTGTTCTCTCCCCTTTCCCAGCCTAGGAAACAAAAGCCTGAAGTTTATCTAGCGCTTTCCCCGTAGGGGCTGCTGGTAATAGCTGGTCCTTTCCAAGTAGCACTGAGGCTGCCCATCTTCACAAGTACCAGTCCATGCACACTGGCTCCAATAACTTGGTCTAGGACACGTTTCTCTAAGCTCCCATGCCCGGATTCTACTGAGGACACAGGGGAAAGGCCAATACTTTGAGACCCCATGAGAGCCATCTCAGTCCATAGCTACCTCTGGCACTTACATGCCAAAAGCACACAGTCACCTGAGATCACTGCTCATGGTCAGTACTTCAGTCCTGAGACAGCTACACATCTTCCAGTTCCCACTGGACACTTTTCAGTGAGGGAGACAATCCTTCTCCAGACCAGATAACATACGGGATGTCCCACGGCCAGGTCTTTACTCACAATGTCCCAGGAGCCATCTGCCACCCTGCATCCACAGATAGATCCTAAAGGAGGGATATAAAATATAATTCTCCAGACCAGGACTTCAGGACAGTGCCCTCTAGCAAATATAATCCCTTGGTAATTCTTTCTCAGGCCCTCAGGCCAGCACCTGTTGAGGCCCAATCTGTAATCCTTGGCTCAGTTCAGCTGTCCTTAGGAGCAACAGTCCCCCCACCCGCCTAAGGCCTGTAATCCTCCTGGGAAGGAAAGAATTTGCTCATGCCACCTGCACATTTACCACCTCCTCAGCCACTTTCTGGATACACCATCTCAGGGATTGGCTGGAGCATGATAAATGTTCAACTGATCATATGCATCTCCCTCCCTATGCTCTGGAAGCTTATTTCAGGGGCAGAAAGAAGAAATCAAACTCTCAGCTCGTGTTGAGTACCAAAGTTTGTCACCATTTCATAGGTGCTGGCAAGTTTACGGCTTGACATGTTTGATATCCATTTACATGCACAAGCTTATCTTTTCTGTTTCACAGAAACAGAAAATGGGTAATATATTGCATTTGTGTGTACTAAACGTAACCTGTGTTGTGTATTTTTTTTACAGAACATTTTGTTTGATAAACCATTGCGCCAATAGCTTGTGACATAAAAGACTGGAACATTTAATTCACCATTGAGTCTCTGATTTTAGAAAACATATAATGTTTGGGGGTTTTCCCTAATCTTCAGGCATTTTAACCTGTGCGTAAAATTAGCTTTGGCAGAAAAAGGGTTAAACAGTACCTGTGTAATAGCAATTGAATATGTTGATAAA